AGAACATATGACCTGTATCTATATATAAAGTTTTATTTAAGTATATATCTAAGAATATATAGCTTATTAAAATAACTTAAAGTGGTATAAGCTACATAGGTTTTTATAATTAATACTAATATTATTCTAGCTAGTAAAATAGGTTAGTTTAGATTTTATTAGTAGTATAGCTTCTATAGCTTAGAGGCGTATCTAACTTCTTTTAAGTTATCTAGGCCTTCTCGTCTATACTATATCTAGTCTCGTGACTAGAGGTCTTTAGCGAATAGTCTTCCTATATAATAGACTAGACTAGTTCGTAAAAGGCCTATATAGATTGTTATCTAATATAGGCGTAGTAATAGAACTCTTTCTATCCTATCTACTATAATTTTACTAACTAGTAGTATATTATTGGAGTCCTCTAACCTATAACTCTAATAGATTTTCTACTATAACGTTAGTAGTATAGAATTATCGGCTATCTCGCCTTTCTTAGATATATAGTCTAGACGCCAACTAGATATATCCGCTAGATTCTTTTTACTGGCCCTATATTTAATAATAAAATTAAATACTATAAGGTATTTAGACTATCTAGTTTACCGCCTACTTAATACCTTTATAGTTATAAAGTAGCGTAAATTAGTATAGTTAGTTAGGATTCTTACTAGAAACCTACTACCCTCTAGATAGCAACGCTACTATTTAAAAAACTCTATAATAGCTAATAGCTCTAAATTATATATCTTATATTAGGTCTCTAGCCTAATTATCTTTCTAGACTAGTAAGCGATAGGGTACTAGCTAATATCTTTATATAACTTGTTTAATATACTTCTTAGACTAAATCTTAATATATTATATTCAACTAATAGGGGTAGTTTAGGATTAAAATATTATAAAAATAGCTTCTTTATAAAAGCCTACTTTAGCTATTTAAATACTTTCTATACCTCTAGTACCTATTAAAATCTAGCCTTTCTTTGGCCTTTCTCGCTATCCTACTATATATAGTAGCTAAAATAGGAATATAAATAATTAGAATATTTCGATAAAATAATAATAAAACCTAGTATATCTAATTGACTATTATATATTAAATATATATTATAGAATAGGCTATTCCTATATAGCCCTAATATACTCCTCTTCTATTTTTACTCCCTTTAGGGTGATTATAAATCTTATAACTAAATTAGTATAGAAAAAAATAGTATTTACTATATTTTATATATAGCCTATAGGTTCTTAACTATTAAAAACCCTCTTATATATACTTAATAGAATCTATCTTATTTTAAGAGAATATTAGGATATAATATAATACTAATTAAGAAGATTATAAAGCGCGTGGTATATATATATTTAGAAGATAGCTAAGGTATTCGCTACCTAAATAGTATAACTATATATTTAAAATATCTATACTAAGTATAAAAGGCTATTTTCTATTTATCTCCTTTTTAAATTCTAAGCCTATAGTAGGCGTTTTAAATATCTAACTAGATAAAGATCCTAGTATCTAATAGTTAATCAATTATTTTATTTACTAGCGATAGTAGATAGCGATTCTTAATAGTATTATTATTAAGACCTTAATAGTTAATATATAATTATAATAATCTTTCTTAATAAAAATAATTGGCATATTTATAGGGCTTTGGAATAATTAGATCTATCCTTTTACTAATATATTATTATGTATCCTTAATACCTCTAGTTCATTTAGAGAGAGTAGATAAATTAGCTAGTAGGGTAGTTAAGTTTCTATAAATTAATAGTATAATCAAGATGTAATAACTAGGGTAGTTTACCCATATTTTGTTTACTAAAAATATCTTTAAAGTCCCTATATAGCTTTATAGTCTCACTATTATTATAATATAAAAAAAGGGAACTAGCCTATTTTTATCTAATAGGCGTAGATATATAGTTATGAATACTCTAGATATAGCCTTATTATAATAAGCTATAGCTAATATTCTTAGGACTTATATAGATTTATTATTATAGATTTCTAAATATTCTTCTAATTAATATTAAGGTTAACTAAATTAAACTAGTTATATCTAAGAATTATATTATATCTTTAGATATTAACTGCTTTATATATAATAGAGTCTTCTTAATAATTCTAGTACTATTAGTTAGCTTAAGGGTTATTTTATATACCCTAAATAAATATAGTATCTATTTATTAATAGCCTATGACTATCCGCAGTATAGCTTAGCTATCTAAGAGGTACTACGTAGCCTATCTTCAATTTATAAAGCTTATTTTAGCTCCACTATCTATAAGAATAATAATAGGGATAGCCCTATTAGTAAGATTAATAACTACTTAATATATAAATATCTTTATCCCCTCTTCTTTTATCTTATAGCCTCTAGTATAATTATAGCGAAATTTACTAAGGCTTCCTATTTTTTATCACTTTAATAGTAGCTACTTTAATACCTATTTTCTTAAGATAGCTCTAAGAGAGTTAACCTATTTCGCTATATATATAGTAAGTACCGTCTAGTATCTTTCCCTTCTTAACTAGATTAGTTAATAGGGACTAATATTTTATTGGTTTTTTAGCTAAGAAATAGTCTTTTTATACCTCTAGCTCCCTCCTCTATAAGAGTTATTATAGCTAATACTATAATACTAGAGTCGCTTACTTTAGTCTAGTAGGCTCTTATTTTTCTTCTCTCTATTCTAGCGCTAATTTAATAAGATTTATTAGCGACTAGAAATATTATTCTTAATAATAGTAAGATAATTAATATACTCTATTAGATCTATTTTCTATTAGATATTAAATTACTCTCTTCTTTAATAATAAGTAGTATAAAGTTATATAGGTAAGTATATATCTATATATTATTTATCTACTCTTCCTTATTTAACCTTAGTATTAGATTAATTAGATAGTATATTTATAGGTAGACTTGGTTTCCTAAACTATAAGATTAAATTACTCTAATATAGCCTACTATATGTTTTTATATTTATTAATTAATCTAATAGCCTAGATCTTTATTTTTTAAAATAGGGATATTATAAGGAAATTTAATCTTATAAAGCTCCTCAATATAGTTAGAGTAATAGACTAGCGTCTATCTAGTCCAATAGAGCTAGTACTTAAACTAATCTACATAAGTATAGTTAGTCTTAAAGAATTCCTTAAGAGAAAAGACCTATTTTTAATACTTATTATCTTTACTTTATAGACTAATAGATAAGGTTAGCCTTACAGTTTCTTAATACTATAATAGCGTAGTATAAATAGGGCCTTTTTGTTAGACTCCTAATCTATTAGTTATAAAGGTTAGAAGTTATAAAGCTTAAATAGCTTATTAGGGTAGTTTATCTATATAATAGCTTCTATATTAAAATTAACTAGCGGCTAGATTATCTCTAATTAAGATATACTTATTAGCAGTAATACCTTTATAGATATATTACTGGATACTATAGATATATAAGTTAGCGGTTATATCTTAATAGGCTAATTAGAATAACCCTACTCCTGTCAGAGTTATTCTATAACTTAGGCTCTCTTAAGGTTATATACTTCCCTTTCTAGCCGTTTAAGTTCCCATATCTTTTACTTAGTAACGGCCCCTTAAGATAGTTTAGAGGCGGTCGGCTCGGTTAGGATAACCCAGTTAGTTCCTAGATCGATTCTATAATTAGAGGTTTAACGGTTCTAGATATATCTTAGACTAGCCTATTTAGAGGGTCTTCGCTAGACTATCTAGCTAAGGGAAGGCGCTAAGAGCGATAGGATACTATAGTCAAAATAGGTAGGTTCTACTAGGCAAACCTTAATTAGTAGTGCGTTTAGAATTATAAGACCACGTAGTGTCTCCGGGTTTAGGTAGGTAAGTGAGGTAGGTAGCCTAGTTATACGTGTAATATAATAAGGTAGATTATATAAAAAGACTGAACGCTAGTATATCTAACGGACCAGCGAGACATACTTATATATAGGCTAGCCTATTTGTGGGCGGTGAGGTCCCAGATCATCCTTTCACCGTACGTCCTAGGGCATCTATCTATGCCTTAGGCGTCATCGACCTCCTTAGTCAGGTAGTGGTCCTGACACGATCTGCCTCGCTTACCTACCTAACCCTAGAGACACTGCGTGGTCTCACGAAAATACTATCCTACTGTAGAGTACCATATCTAGTACTTTTTATTAATAATATATTTATAAGTAACTTGATCCACGCTATCTTTAGACCTATGAATATTCTAATAGCGGGATCTAAAAAAGGCTTTTTAGGTTTTTTAGTCGGAATAATTATCTATCGTCTAGGATAGCTACTAATTGTTCTCCTCGATTAGTTTATTGGTGTAACTTATTAGCGGTGTAATTACCTTTTTACTAAAATCGTCTAATGGCTAGACTATCCCTAATATCCATATACTTAATACTATATTTAGCGCTACTAATACTGATAATACCGCCCTTGAGAATATAATACCAGGTATAATAAAAGGTATATTACTTATATTACTAGATACGTACAAAAGTAGTAGTATGCTAATAGCTTAAATAGGGTAGCCTTATTCCTAATAGAGTTATTTAATAACTTAGGCTCTTTACTACGATTATATACCTCCTATTCTACTTATTTAATCTCTCGTATCTCCTAATCTAATACCGCTCCCTTGGCTAGTCCTATCGAGGCACCTTAGATAGGTACTAGCATAGATTACCAAGGGCTATTAGTTCGGCTAAAAGAGGACCGATTCTATAATCGGCACTAGTGATATAGCGGGTATTATCTGGTAAAACATATACTACGCCTTCCCTAATTAGGGTTAGGTAAGTGGAGAGGCGTCCGAATATCAAGGAATGGGGGGTCTTTTTAACATCGCCCTTACATATATCTGCCCGTGCTATTTATATAGTACATCTCACCTCATATATTCCCGTTCATCACATTGATTTGACCAACACATATAACGTTGGATTGATTTGGTTTCCACCTGAGTAATGGATTTTTCTCACATTAGGAGCTCACATCTTCGATTCTTGAGATTCTTTCGCCGAGACTATCTCCGAAATTAAAGAGATGTTCAGCAAAGCATTCTCCGCAGCCTCATCACCCGCAGCCGCCTTACTCAAGCCTTGACCAGAGCTCAAATGTCTTTTCTCCCATCCCCACCCAGTGAGGTATAAACCGATGAAGAAGGTCTGGGTGCCACCTTTTAGCTGGACGGACGGACGTTCCTCGAGATATTCAAGTTTGATGTTTTTACCCATTATCTTTTTAGCGAGAGCCTCCTTAGAGCGCAAGCCGCCTTTCTGGGGACCCAGGTTTTTGAGAATCGGCATCCATAAACTGGTCAGCCAATGTTCAGCTACTTGATATCCATTAACCGGATCCGATAGTATGACTGCAGCAACGTAAGCCTCGAACACGTCGCCTTTGGTCTTTGTCCATCTCTTCGATGGGTTGTTGTAATTTGAAGGCACCGCAACCTTGCGATCGAAACCAAAAGTCTCCGCAAATCCCGAAAGGGTCTCATTCTTGACAAGTACCTCCCGAATTTGTGATATTCGACCAGATGGTAAGCCGGGAAACCTCTCCCAAACAAATTTTGTTGCAATCAGCTCAATGTATGCATCGCCAAGAATCTCAAGCCGGTCATAGGTGGTGTTGTTATTGTTGCTCAAGGCTGGATGGGTAAACACAGCGGCTCTCAACTTGTCATCCATGACTGAGGGTAGCGCAGGTGTAGATAATCCATCGATTCCTGTTAGATCGTGTTCGAAGTGACGACCTCCTGGAGCCTGCCGAGTCCTAGTGGAACCTTTATTGGGGAATGGATTCGTTGTCTGACGAAGTTTTTCATCTAGACTTGAGAGTGCTTCCATCACCTCCGAGTCAGCACCAGTGAGGTCGGGGTTGTCCAAAGTCTCCCGAACAAGGCGCTGCAAGAGAAGGAGACGGGAATCGGTGCTAGCCTTCATAGCTGTACTACCATCATCGGCAATAGAAAGCCCAGTCACGAATGGCCGTGCTGAGCGATGTACCTTTGGAAATGTCAGCAATGTACTGAACCGACAAGAGGTGTCAATTGTGACGACGTTATAATAATCACCTTTGGCCTTTTCTGTAGGTTCTGAGTAGCATCGGAATCAGACATGGGGCTTGGCCTTTTCAGATTTGCCTTTGATTCTTTTGGCCCTCTCGGGCCCATTGTCTCTTCGCCCCGAGGCATGTTGGGGAAATTGTTCCAGGTATTTTGGAGAAGAGGTAGGCGGTGTTGACCAGGTGATCACATGACCGTAGCAAAGTTCAGCCGACATCTCCGCGCATTTGTGACGAGATCTCTCTATCAGCTGTGTGACCAGCTGCCTCATTCTCCCATTGTCGGGTTTGATTCATTGCAGGAGGAAATATGGCCCAAAGTCGGATCCTGGATTTGGTCAAAGTCTGTATACCCTCTCCATGCTCGTGTCCCACTACTCATTAACGGTACTTTATTTAGACCCAATGCCGCATATTCTCCCTCAATTTCAACCCACAACGGCTTCGACTGGGAAACAAAGTTTTGAGGCAGCGCCTGCGAGGGCCTGCGCTTGCGGCATGGTACCCAAAGAAGACAGTGTCTTTCCGTGACCTACAAAATACCTACAAACCTCTTGGATTGACAACATTTGACGAGGCAGAAGATGACCGAGAAGAAGCCATTCAGATGTAAGCACTGATACCGAGCCTCTTAGTGAAGAACCCACTAAGACCCATTGACCTGTAGTGCCAAATTGCGAGGCAAGGGCCGACCGAAGAAGAAACGAACTGCCGCAGGTACTTTTTGCCTCACTTACTTCATACTCAAGGAAACCCAGGTCTAACGCTCCATAGAATCGCGGTCCGCCAAGAAGAAGAAATAATCTGTTTGCCCACTGAGATGGCTTGACTATATCCAGTGCCCGGTTGAAAGTCAGCGCATAACATCCTCATGCTTGGATGGGATTGACCTTCCACCTTTCTGCCTGGAAACATTTCCACCTACAATACTATTTAAACCCTTCTGTTCTGATTTTATTCCATAGCCTGGTACGTGTGGGCACATCATTCATCATTTTGTCTTTCCATTTTTTTGTACACTAGATATTATATGGCTCATGCCACTGCTATTCAGAATCGTGCCGGCTCATTTGATCTTAGTATTTTGTAACACAGCGGAATAAGCTCTGGAGCAGCCCTCTACGTCTCAAGTATTGTACGCGTAGGCCTTAAATGTGGCAATTTAAAGGCGGTAAACACCAACAGCTCCTAATCACGTGTATACCAGTGACCGTTGCCCTCTGCATATTTTGATTTGATATCTTGCCCAGCCAAATCAACGTTTCTGATCACTAGAGTCTGCGTTCTCACCCCTCTCCAGATTTTGACTTGATTTAACTGGCTTGACCACTGCCAACCTTTATTTTACGTGTCGCCGGTTGAGCGACTGTCAACTCCCCAGCGACGATGAAACCAAGCAAGAACCAGCTTAGAAGGGCAAAGAAAAAGGCTCAAAAGGTTGAGGTGAGACCCCAGCCATCGCGAATATATTGTACGGGGAGGAGCAAAGCTAATACCACCGCAAAGGCTGCTACTTTGCCTGTTCAAGATGAGACGCCAATGGAGCCGTCCGCGCCTCTTCCTACTCCTCGGGATACGACAACTGATGACATTGACCTGGTTCCCGAGCCCAGTGACCCATTATGGGAGATGTACAAGGATGTTGCCGGCAAGTTTGATGAAATCGCAGCGGAAAGCTCCACTTTGAAAGATTCCGAAAAACCCGAGGTCTATTTTGATGATGGCGATGAAATTCCCGACGAAGAGCAGGAGAACGAGCCCAAGCTCTCGAAAAAGAAACGAAAGGAAATGAACAAACTCTCTGTTGCAGAACTGAAGGCAATGGTTAGGAAGCCAGAAATTGTTGAATGGACAGACACATCCGCCCCCGATCCTCGACTTCTCATTCATATTAAAGCCCATCGCAACGTGGTTCCTGTTCCATCACACTGGTCGCTTAAACGAGAATATCTCTCGTCCAAGAGAGGAGTGGAGAAAGCACCATTCGCGCTGCCAAAATTCATACAAGAAACAGGAATCTCTGAAATGCGCGACGCCGCCTTGGACAAGCAGGAGCAGTCTACTTTGAAGCAAAAGCAACGGGAGAGAGTGCAACCGAAAATGGGGAAACTCGACATCGATTACCAGAAGCTCTACGAGGCATTTTTCCGCTTTCAGACCAAGCCCGAGCTGACTCGCTATGGCGAGATTTACTATGAAGGCAAGGAATACGAAACCAACCTCAAGCATCTTCGCCCTGGTGAACTCAGTGATGAACTCAGGGATGCTTTGAACATGGCGCCAGGGGCTCCACCTCCTTGGCTTGTGAATCAGCAACGATATGGCCCCCCACCTTCTTATCCTGCATTGAAACTTCCCGGCCTCAATGCGCCGCCTCCTCCAGGCGCGACGTGGGGTTATCACCCAGGAGGCTATGGAAAGCCACCAGTTGATGAACATAACCGCCCACTTTATGGAGGTGATATATTCGGCGTTCTACAGCCCCAACAACACGCTCAGCAAGGAGAGCCGATTGAGAAGGACCTTTGGGGAGAGCTACAGGAATCAGAGGAGTCGGAGCCAGAGAGTGAAGAAGACGAAGAAGACGATGACGAGGAAGAGGCTGATGAGGATGGGATGGAAGCAGATGCTCATTCCCCCAGTGGCTTGGAAACTCCCAGTGGCATGGATTCAACAGTACCGTCCGAGTTTGTCGGAGCCGAAAGTGTTTCTGGAGAGTTTGATGTCCGCAAACACCACCGTGGAACCGAGACAGAGGAATCTGTGCATCCTAGAAGTGCGTACCAGGTGATTCCCGAGAAACAAATGAATGTGCAAGGCTTTTTCGGAGGCGACAGAGCATACGACCTCACCGGGTCCTCGGGCAAACCTCCTGTTCTTGGGGCAGATGACTCAAGTCGAAAACGCAAGAAGCCTGGGGATGTTGAAGTGTCTGTTGACTTGGATGCGATCCAGTCCAATGATGGCATCAGCAAAGAAAGTCTCCAAGACATGTATGAGACCCAGAGGCAGCAACAAAACCAGCCAAGCTGGGGCTTCAAGGAGGATTTGAGTGACATGATCGCCCAGGAGAGCCGCAAAAGGCTGCGAAAGGAAGAGGAAAGACGGACGAAGCATTGAGTGCTTTTCTATGTTAATTTCTGAATTTCTCCTAGGCGCTTATTTCGTGATGGGCATCCGGGGATTGGCTACGCTGGTGTACTCTAGGTTCCAAAGGCCTCTGGCCTGTAATGTACGGTAGTTCTCTTTTATCACAGGCCATTATGAGCGCTTAGTCGCTATCCGGTACCGCATTGAAGTATGCGAAGAATATCTAAAAAGGTATACTGTAGTCGTAGTCACATGCGCACCCCAAGGCGCGTTTCCCAAAATGGTTTAGCTCACATACAACCTTTAGATCTTTCGGATCTCCAACTCCTTGCGCTCTGAACTACCACACCCGAGACTTCGCACTTGATCTTTGGTCGCCTTTGTGTTCGGCAGGGAAATACCAAAAGCTTTCTCTTCTATTGAGCTGTATCGCTCTAGCCAGAATGGATTGGGATCGTAGAAGGTTTGCAGTCGCAACTTGTACGTTTCAAGATGAATTACTGATGGGTATTACTGATTTAGATTTGACGATCGAAGAGGAGGAGAAAGCTATCGTCCAGCTGATAGAACAGGCCGTTCACCTTCTCGGGGGTACGATGTTCGTCACAGGCGCTCGCCGCCGCGAACCCGCTCTCCACCCCGACAGCGAGCAGACACCTGGGTGCCTCCGTCTAATAGGGGATATGGGCGCCCACGAAGTCGGTCTCCACCAACCTATCGGCGCCGCTCACGAACTCCTCTAGGAAGGGGATTTGGCCCAAACGGCTACGAAAGAAGACGATCACCGCCAAGAAGATTCTCACCCAGAAGAGAAGAAAGGATCAGGTCCCCGCCGGCGATTTGGCGTTCAAAATCGCCTTTCAATGATGGAAGATCACGCGATTCATCTCGTGGCCACAATAGCCCGAGACGGCCGCGCGACGCAACACCGGGCACTCAGGGTTTCCGACCATCCAGGAGAGATGGCCCACCAGCCCCTAGCCTCGACAAACTCTCTAGAGCCTCTTCGCCAAGAGCGCCGTCAGAAGTTTTGCCGCCGCAAAGTCCAGCACCTGGTCCCCGCGGAGACCACGCGCCTGATAGAACGAGCCAGGACCGAATTTTATCATCACGACATGCTTCGCCTGCACAAGTCGTCGCTTCACAATCAGAGACTATATCTCAACGTTCATCTCCAGCCGTGGAAAAGGCTGGTTTCGTGTCACAAGGATCACGTAGTCGCTCACCGGTACACTTGGGCCCACAGCGTTCGTCCAAACCACCAGGCCGATCTCCGTTCCAGGACCAGATTCCTGACACGGACTCTTCCATTATCCCAAGGCGATCAGAGCATGGAGAGCGACTATCTTTGAATAATCAGTCACCAGCTTTCAACTCGGAGAAGATGCACGATCAGCACCAGATGAGCGGACCCAGAGTTAACAACATCCCAACCCAGCCCAAAAACCACAGTGCAAGCCCACATCCTCTCCCAACATCGGGGCCATATCAAGGACCGAGGCCGCCATCTAACCCGCATCGTGGGGTACTGTCGGCGCCGACTCGCCCTCGCCGTGGACCAGGCTCGCGTGAATCTTGGATGGGAACTCCTCCGGTACGCCGCGGTCCCGCTCCAGCTTCACATGGCCCTCCGGCAGGACCACGTGGTTCTTTCTCCTCAGTCACGGGCGGGGGAAGTTTTCGACATGCCAACCCACGGCAATCCATTTCTGCCTCTGCAGCTCAACCGGTACCCCCGAGGGGGGGCAACCATCTTGCGGGGCTATGTACTATCATACCGGAAGGGAGATGTCTCCCGTCTCTTCTGGAACCTGCTGTAGAAAAGCGGCTGTCTCAGCTTGATACCGACAAAGAAAAACTTCTGGAGCAGATGGCGGAAATGCAACGATCAAAGCGAGCAGAACTTCGAGACTGGGATCGACTTGACCGGGAAAGCTCCATCTGCGCTCTAAAAAGCGAGCTGGCAGAGGGCAATCTCCAGCGAATGGCCGACGAGAGCATCGGGGGTGGAATTCTGTTCTAACGCGCCAAATGTACATTACGACTGGTCAAGGGATGGGAGCGACTGTTTACTCTATACTAATCTATGAACTGTATGATTTCTATGAACATTTTTATTATTTGTATTCCTTTTATACAGTAGACCAAAGATGAGGATCCGATGAGTACATCTGAAACATGTACATTCTCCGCTTGTTGACGGCCAATCGGTACTTCTCCAGAATTGTACTGTACGAATACAGGTCGCGTACCTGATCTGCAGTACTGTAATTACCCTTCCCCTTCGTTTTTTGCTTTCGTGTCAACAACTCAATGCTCTCCTTCTCATCTACTTCCCTACTTTGCTTTGAACGCTCATTCTCCTCACAATGAATATCTTCAGGCTATTAGGTACGAAATCATCTCTTCGGTCAATGCCATATCTGCTAACGCTCCGCAGCCGATTTCTCCCATCTGGCCTCGATCTTCATGCTTCTGCAGAAGATGAAGACGTCGAGCGTATGTCCCTCTGTCGTTAAGCCTGGGACTTGCAACTAATACGAAATCGCAGAGTTGTTCGGGGTTGTCCTTCAAATCACAGGTGCTATATCTCTTGGTCTTTACCACTCGGTATCTAGGTCAGTTTCGACGTCATCAGTCCTTCTCCAAAACCTCCATCGCTAACGCGCCAACCACTCGCCAGACCTCTTCTGGACATTCACCGAGTCTTTGTACCTCACCACATTCAAGCTCCTTTTCATCGGCTCCTCGGCCTACGTCATCTACCTCATGCTCAACGATTACAAACCTACGCATGATCCTAATCTCGATACTTTTAAGGTTCAATACCTCCTTGGAATCAGCGCAGTGCTTGCAATCCTCTTCCCACACGATTATCGTTTCTCTGAGGTTAGTGTGGACTTGGCGGAACTCTTTTGTCGGCGAACCTGGGGTAGAAGGACTAACGGCATCTCAGATTCTTTGGACCTTTTCAATTTGGTTGGAGTCGGTGGCCATTCTGCCACAACTCTTCATGCTCCAGCGAACTGGAGAGGCGGATACTATCACCACTCACTACTTATTTGCTCTGGGAATTTATAGGGCACTCTATATTCCAAACTGGATGTTCCGCTACCTCACCGAGGCCTCATTCCAGCGTTCCTTCCAACCTGTGCCGATCATTGCAGGGATTATTCAGACCCTTCTCTACTCGGACTTCTTCTACATTTACTACAACAAGTAAGCCGGATTGCCGACACACCTCCCATAGGCATAAAAGAATACACGCTGACTTTGATGGCTGCTCAGGGTTCTGAAGGGCAAGAAGTTCTCACTTCCTGTCTAGGTAATCTCATGTCATGGACCGAGGACTTCATAAGATCTTGGATCACTCGTTTCAAGACTGGCGTTTGGCATCAATTTTCTCGGACCCACTGCTTATATTTGCTTGGACGCAGTGACCGTCCAGTCATTTCAGATACCAAGTGTGATACCCTCAATCCATGCATTCCCACCGTTGTCTGGGATTTGCTGAATATGAACTAATGATTTCATGTTGCCCAATGTATGCATCGACAATCCGGCAACATAGGTCTGCTTGGATAGACCCGTTGGAACCGATTACATGGATCACAGGGTGATCTCATCCAATGTGTATGCAAGCAATGGCTCGAGGTTGGTTTTGTTTTGTATCGGCTGCTGCTCCTATTTCTCGCCATGACCCGTGCAAGCAGTAGTCCGAAACGCGGCCTTGAATTGACTTTGTGAGCAACTTTTATTTGGATGCGATATGGAACGTAGTTTCAGAATGCACAGAATTTTTATTTATTTTGTATCTTACTACTGCTCGATTTTTCCGTCTCTCCATACATCAAAGGCTTAGGGTGACACCCCGTTCTGTTCTTATCCTCCTATTGAGGTCAAGGCCGACGAGGAGGTGTGGAGAGACCTCGAGGCTCCGAACAAGGTACTTTTGGGAAATACACAAAGTATATCCCGGACGACAAGAACGTGACACCGCGTAAATCAACAAAGGCACTCAGAACTCTCTCTGGGGCGGGGCTCCATGAGTCGGAACATATCCCGTTGTATAGGTCAACTGGGAAGGAGGAATAGATAGATCGGTGGTGTACGGGTCCAACGTGCCCGCAATTGAGTGCGAAATGTTGCCCATCGGCTGGAACGACCGTACTCCGTTACCTAGGGCTGAACGGCCCTGCACACTTTGGTGGCTATCAAGCCAAGCATTCTGGCTGTGCAAATGACCGAAATAGTCAGACTGTGTTCTGTCAATGGGCATTTGGCCGAAGGTGGATTCTCGCCGTGAAGCCGGAGGTGATGGGAGTTTAGGAGATCGAGGGATCATCTCTAGTCGCGGGGAGCTTCTTCGTGAATTGGGCGGCGTCAAGCGCGAACCTCCGCGGCGCACCTGACAGGTTGGGCAGATCTTTACGAAACGGGAGATCAGTTCTTTCGGCACCCTAAAAGACAATCAGTGGCTGAACAATCATATATCATGTTGTGTACTGAGTATAACGTGTCTAAGAGTTGCCTACCATGAGTAGATTCGCCGGACCTGGGCAGAGGTCTTGTCGCGGCCACCATGCTGGCATTGCTGATGTGCTTTGGTGAGGATTTTGAACAATTTCTCTCGAATCGCAACCGGCTTGCCCTCATGACAGATCATCTTCCTGCACTTTATACCACAACGCCATCATTAGCATCGAATAGCCAGGTTTCCGAGATGACAGAACTTACTTCTGGCGTTCCAGCCCCCATAGCCTGCAGCTTGAACATCTTCTTAACCCAGAACCTGATCTGTTTAGCATATTGTGCACCCAAAGCAACGGATCCCGTACCGAAATTGAGCCGACTCCACCGCCGTATCCTTTGGATCAATTAAGACAGTCCTGATGTTACGGGCTCTTTTAGCATGAATCAATGCCTTGTCTTGCTTCTTGACGGAAAGATCATTGACGTAGCTAGAAGGATGAGGTCAGCTTCGAGTCCACATATGAAGAGGAAATTGCCTATTACTCACTTCTGCATCAACTGATCAAATTCTTTTACATCAGGGAAACCGTCAAGGGCGGGCACAACGGGCTCTGAGAGCTTGGAGATCTCATTGCGAGACTCTTGACTTTCAATCTCTATTTCGCTGAGTGACATCGGATCGCGAAGAGGTAGATATTTTGGTGCTTGAAGATAGCGCGACTGAGGCATGTATTGCGGAGGATGATGGACCCTGGGATCATCCTGAGTTGTCATTGATGGGATCGAATGTTCTGATGAATACTGCAGATTCTGCAAACCCGGAGAAAAGCTTGACTGTGGACCGTAAGGTTGCCCAAACTGAGAGCCGTAGGGATTGAATGAATGTTGAGGGAAGTGATATGGGGATCCATGTGCGAAGTCATGATTCTCTTGCTGGCCATATGAGCCTGGCACAGCCAGTTGGTGGTTCATGAGATAGGCATCATTCCCTTCGTTGCGCCTTGCAAAGCTGCTCATGGCTGGTGCCTAGTTTCCGCTCAGATGTCGATTTTGCAGCATACGATCTGTCGAACAAGCCCTGAGTACAATGTGGACAGACACCAAACGACAGAGTAGAGTGTAGTGAGACGAGGCGTGAGGAACAGTCACTCCCACCAGTATGACAAGAAGATATCAAGGGGAGAGAGAAGTCACTGGAGGCCCATTTAAGAACGGGGTAGCGATTGCATTAAAAGGACCCCAAAGGGCGCGGATATCCCAAGAGCACGAGACCATGTCGAAAAGGCAGAAAACAACAGAGGGCATCCCTGGAAGACTAACAGCAAATATTTCACAGGGAAAAAGAAAGAGTCGAGGTAAGGTACAGAGGGCAAAGAAAAAAAAGAAAGGGTTCGTTTTCGGTAAGGCGATACGCTCCAGAGCCACGTTGGGTATTCGAGGCATCCTATCGGGACAAAGAGGCGGGGAGACGATGATCTCCCCGATTTGCATAGAATCGATCTTCTGCACGTTTGCCTGGTCACAAACAGATTTCCCCTGCAAGTAGCCGTGCCAATTGGTAAGGAACATGGATGCGTTCTCTCAGGCTTGGGGATGAGGATGTAACTGCCCTCGAGAATCTAGGGAATCCCAGTTGCGTGTGTGTTGTGTGTCCATGTCTCACTGCCAAGTATGTGTTTCGATTTGACGTGGCAAGCATCTCCGAGTGACAGGTGCAGGGCAATCAATGCGGGATGGCAGGACTGCATACGTTTGGCTCGTAGTGAGACACGATTTGTCGCCCAACATCCAAGGTTCGGACCCTCGCAGGAAGCAATCGGAATCCTGTTCACAACTGAAAAGGGGGGACTGTTGCTTCCCGATCATTTTCCCGGAAATGGTCTGCATAACGTCCGAGTCCGAGTTTCAGTATTTCACAGAACATGGATAGACCTGGGAGATGGAAGTTGAGAGTTGGGAGTTGGGAGTTGCGGGAGAGGCGCGAGTTGCTATTGTTGGATTCTGCCCAACTTCTCAGAAAACTTCACTCTTCACTCTTTACATATTAACAGTACTGTATAGTTACAAAAGTCAGGCTTGAAAGTCACCGTAAGTTCATGCCAGTAGGTCGTAAGGTCGTGTATTTCCCAAGGCGAAGTCGCCCCGTCTAGGCTGCTTCTTCCCTGCCATCAAGTGCCACCAAATCACGGATGATCCATAGGTGATTTTCGTGGCGGTCGAAGCCAACCCACTTGTCAACCTTGCGCCTCCACTTTTCTTCCTCGGCTCGCTGTCGTCGAATGAATTCTGGCCCGACATCGAATTCCTCCGTCATAGGTCCTTCATCGGAGGATTCACCGGCACTTGCCTCATCCCCCTGGAACTGAGGCCCTTCAAATGCCCCCGAGGTGCGTCCATGGGTGCTGCTTGCCTCCAAATCATCTAGACCGGCAAAGACATCATCTTCATCTGCAACGCCGTCAAGTGGGGCCTTGAGCCAGCACATACGATGCGGATCGAAGACCATCCCACCGACGGTTTGAACGTTGTGCATCGCGCCAACATTGGTGATGAGAGCTGGTGCAGGCTTGGGTGATTTTGAAGCATGATCGAAATCTTGTACCGAGTTTTCATTTCCTTCCCAACGGAAGTTGATAGGGTTGTAACGCATACCCCTCACGGCTAGGAACGGTGAATAGTGAGCTTGGGTCAATCATTCAAAATCAAGGCTTGCTTACATTTGGCATCTTGCACCCCAGACCCCATGGGCTTGATCAGATGTGGTTTTGATGTTAATTTTGCACTAGGCCTGCTTTTCCGGCTTCGAATTGATGTCGAGGGAGGGGCTCTTGAGATAGGCTGGGACTTCCAGTTCGAGCTGAAACTAGAGAGAGAATTTGATTCACGGCTTTTCGAGTTCATTGCCATGGAAGCAATGCGTTGTTCTCTTGCATTCCGGGATGCATTGGTATCTTGGGCAAACCTAGGAGTCGGACTTCGTAATTTAAGCGCCGATGGGGATGTTGACGATTGAGGAGGTGATACATCGTGCGGTGGCTCAATCCGACTCTGACTGAGTCTGGAGCGAACGGATCTTGGAGCACCTCGACCTGTGGGAGTTTTGACAAACTTGCTCTCTGCCGCCACCGATGTAGACAAGTCGTCAAACGACTCGAGCTCTGTTCCATCCCCAAAATTACGCCGTTTGGTTGGTCGTGTAAGGGTACGCTTTGCCGAAGCAACAGAATCCGGGGTTGATTCGCCAAAACTAGTACGGAAGGACTCATTCCGAGTTGATCGAGGGAGCCGACCGAAGGTTCCCTGTGGACTAAGTAGCCCACTGGAGCTGTCCGAGTTTGTGCGGCGGGAGGAGCGGTATCCCTTCACATTGGCATGCGATTGAGATTCTGAGGGGCCAGCTGGCATGAACGGCGCCTGGGCTCTGCGGCCGAATGTCCTCCCATCAATTAAGGGGCGATCCACCGGTGTTTTAGGTCTCGCGGAAGGAAGACGCACCGGTCGATCAATCGGTTGGCGCTGAGAAGGCTGCGTCAAGGGTGCAGAGCCCGTGCCACGGATTGAGGGCAGTGAACGTTTCGTTTTCAAACGCCTATTTGGAGGGTTGACCTCGCTGGACTGGGTACTGTCCCTAGGAGTTCGAGGTCCGAGAAGTCGTCGACCAGAGAGAGGTGGAGTTGGCGATGTCGGAATGACATTAGAAATGGGGAGGCTTGATGTAGATGATTGAGATGAATGCCCAAGACGCGATTGGGATGTTCGAAATTTGGAAAGAGGAGCACCACTCTCTGAGACAGTCTCAAGATGGGTTGAATGTGTCCGATCATGACCAGACAAGCGAGGAATGCGGGTTCGTGGAGAACCTGTCGCACTAGTGAATGTGAGAGTTGTTGCAGACCGACGAGTCGGACTAGATGGCCGTTCAGTCTTGCATTTTACGTTAGGGTTCAAAGCCAGCTTCCCCGAAGAGAAGGCCTTTCCATTGTCGACTTCGATGCCAGAAAAAAAGTCATCAGCGTCAGGGACCTGATCCAGCCGGTTTTCTCGTACGTCCACGTTCTCGATCCGTGCTGTTTGGCGCTTCTTGAGTGAAGCCTTGAAATCCAAAGGACCCTCAGGGATGACGAGGCCGTCGAGGCCATCGTCTTCACTTTCCGCTGTGAGACAGCTTGAGACGCTAGGACTGGCAATCGAAATCGAGGAGCTGGGAACTGAGCGACCGTCTCTTGTAGTGCCGCCGACCCGGACACCGATGCTTCCTTCAGACCACTCGAGATCGAAATCGTCCAAGATGGGGCTAGAAACGTTGAAATTATGCTTCCGATAGGACAATTCTAGAGGCTGAAGGGTTTGAGGTAATTCGAAGTCCTGGTTAAAGTCATCATCTGTTTCCTGTTCCACATTGAGAACCCCGACATTGGCCGTGGATGATTTCTTTGGAGACCGAGGGGTTGGGGCTTTGAGGGTTGGTATGTCTTGCGGGTCAAAGCCGTCAAATTCCAAAGCTGATTGTAAATGTGTAGAAATTTCGTCGGTCCATGATGGCGAGGCTGCGGACTTCACTGGACTGGTGGCAGCAGAGCTGACATTTCGGAGGAAATCAGGAAACACTGTTTCCCGGGGAGTCTTTAGTTGTAGGACAGTTTCGGGGTCCGGGAGCTCAACATCCTCTGACCAGTCGTCAACAAATGTCTTTCTGGTCTTTCGGGTAGACAAGCGCTTAATCGTGCCGCCGATGAGAGCCGATTTGGGAATATCTGTAGGAATGGGAATTCCCGCGGTCTTGGCCGAGGCAATAGCTTCTTCTTTGGCGAACTCGTCATTTTCGTAGAGCGGAACCTGCCAATCCTCGTCTCCAACATTGGAGTCAAGATCCGAGCGCGCAGAACGTCGCGAGGAAATGGAATCTCGATGCCCAGATGGCCGGAATGACGAATTTGTTATGGATCCCGCGCTGGACGCGGTGCGGAACTGAACATCCCCGTTGAATTGTAAATCGTCGTCGTCATCCCAGCATTCAATCGGTTCATTGGTGCCTGGTCGTAACTGGTTGGGTAACGAGTCCATGGTAGGCTCCAGCCGATCAGGGGAAGGGGCTCGGAGCATGCGGCGCTCACGGAACAGGGACGAATGTCCCTGAAGGGGCGATTATGGCTCAAATGGCAGTCTCCAAGCTTTGCGACACGGACGGAGATTCAGGGGGCGAGAACATGAGCGTCATTCCGGGTCGGTCGGCGAGAGTAAAGCGAGGACAGCAGTTGGTAAAGTTGAGATATCGCCAAGCGGATCGGGGGATAGAACCGGTGGAACGTCGAATCAGATCGGAGTACGATATAGGGACCAGATCCTCCCAAATCAGAGAGAGGACGATCCAGGTCTAGGTCGAAGATTTGAGAGCTGAGCAGCAAAGGGGTGCAAAAGGGGAAAAAGATGTTGTGGCTGGATCTCGGATTCCTCGTGCAGAGGAAGAACGTGCCCCCCCCGGGGTAGGGTATGCGATAGATTTGAGTGGACCACTGCGTAGGTATTTGACTTCTGAATACAGAGTTATTCTAATAAATTATACTGTCTCGTAACCGGACATACAGTGTAAACGAAACGTGAACCTATACAAGGGGTACCTGGTACTTTTGGTGTCTACTGGGATTTAGGTGGGGGTTTAGGTATCAGCTACTTGCCTCGCACGTACCTACATATACTCATAGGTGGAACCACTCTGTTGCCTTGGGATCTCCTTCATAGCTAAGATTTATCTCTTTTTGAAACTGGTTCCTTCTTGTCTTACTCTCCTTTCGATGCCTCTTCCAGACCGAGTCCTACGGTTCCCTAGATCCGATGAGGCTGGGGCATTTGTGCTCATTCATGTTTCACAGAACAGCTCGGCGCCTTTTGATTTAACCCTGACAGCAACTGAAGGAGAATCGCCCTATATCAGCTTGTGTGGGTCGTTGTCAATGGAAGTTAAAGGAATTCATGGACTCACACAGTTAGGACAGTGAAGCAGGCACGCCTGAAAGATCTTCGCGCAAAGAACTATCAAGGGTCAGAGGATGACTGGGCCAACACAGTGTCCTTAATTCTGGGACAATCCTCTCCGCCGTCGGATGAGCCGGATTGGGCCACTGGCCTTGAAACAGTGGCCACTATATCAGGCTCCGAAGAGGACAAGGAAATTGTGATTACGATACGGAAGCGAGTGCAGACCATCACTGTTCGTGTCCTACCACTTTGTAATACATTTCGACTGACCGGCACTGTAGCAACGCCTCGGTACGCTTGTATTGAAGCAAGACGATGAGCAAGCCGTGGAACTGTTCGAGTGGACTGGGATTGCCGTTATGCGAGCTGACATGCTGGAGCAACAAGTCTCCAGCCTAACTTCTCGTTATCGCCTCGCCGAGGACACAATACACAAATTAAATGAACAGCTTGAAGACCTCATGCAGGCGAAGACCCAACATGAAACCCAACTGGTAACCAACTTCGCGCAGCTTTTGAATGAGAAAAAGCTCAAGATTCGCAATCAGCAACGCCTTCTGGCATCAGCGACTCCAGACCCATCTAAAGGTGAGGTCAACCAACCGAAGTTTTCTAATTATCACACTATTGACCGAACAGCGATAGTCTCTGAAATCCAAGCTACTATCCCCGAAGAGGAGTACGGTGCTGGACAACTCCATTCGACAAAAAGAAGCGCCCAGGGTTTGAGCGAGTCTGAGGACTCCGATGGATTTGAACAGATGCATCTCGATACGGAAAGGACTGATCAAGACGCTATCAATGACCACGACACGGACGATGAGCGCTCAACTCCTCAGCCCCTAGAAGACGAGAACAACAGCACGACTGATGATGATGCGTCCCCAGATAATTCTGCTCATATGAAACCAGTCCCCCAAGCAAAGGACACAGCTCCCCCCCGAAGGGAGTTGCCGTTCACCAGAAGGGCTGGGGGAGCAACAACGAAGACTCCATCGACTATGGCCTCCGAAGATGCCGAAGAAACCGCCGGGGAGACTGATGACGATGAGCTGTGAATTGGGCTTAGATTGATTTAAGCAACCGGTCTCAGACAAGCAGGATCTGTGACATTTTGAGAGGACAATTTACAGTATTTGGACTCATAGGTGCCTATACAGTGCTGTCTTTACAGACCCACTCCAGCTAGTACTTCCGCATACCCGAGAAGTTTGTATCTTTACCTGGCTCTCATCAGAATCTCGTGAAAACGTATCATAGGAAAGTTAGGCCCTACTTTGAAACTAAGAAGGGCAGCCCAGAACTTGCCTACGCGTGAATGTGACAAGTCGTAATATCATCTCAAATGCCCATGGAATTGAGATTTTGGAGGTTTAGTCTTTTTATGTACAAGTCAACCACTACCGATTAATCCCAGGCGACACCGGAGAAGAGCGAAGAAGTCAACCGGAACCGGAAGGGTGTTCGAGATGATAGGGAAAAAAGCACAGAATATGGAAAGAAAACAGTACATCCAAAGGGAAGTTTAAGATGTGGTACAATAAAAACGCCTGCAACCATTAGAGAAACATAGAATCAGGTCATTCAGACACCGATCTAGCCATACAAAGCCTGGGGAGACATCTCTCCTGCTGCCATGAAGTTGGTCTCAGGGTTTCCAGTAGCCTTGGCAGCAGAGGCACGAGCCATGGTGGGCGAGCTGAAACAGAGTTAGCGATGCAACGCGATCGAAGATAGGTGAAAGGGTACCAACCTTCGGGAGATAGCGTCAGTAAAGAAGAAGTCTTCGATAACCTTCTTGAAAGGAGCTCCAGTCGTCGAAGAACCCTTGTTCTGGTCTACAAGTTGGACCTTGCTCAACGAGCCAACGGAAGTTGGCTCAACAACGTCGTAGCGACGCATCACAGGGCTGATCTCCTCCATGCGGTCACGAAGAGCCTCGATATCATCGTAAGGCAGGGGGGCACCAAGGAATTCACTAGTCGCACGAATGATCTTCCAGTCATCACGAGCAGCCCCGGGGAGTGACGTGGCAGCACGGGTAACCTGAACACGACCTTCTGTGTTGACGTATGTGCCAGACTTTTCAGTGTAAGCGGCACCTGGTAGAACGACATCAGCAAGCTGGGCACCGCGGTCACCATGGTGTCCTTGGTAGATGACGAATGCGTCCTTGGGGATCTCGCTCTGGGCGACCTCGTCGGCGCCCAAGAGCCAAACCATCTTTGGTGTAGTTTGAGCAACTTCGGAGGACGGCGCAGTGAAGCCAACTTCGTAAGCGCCAGCTCGAGACGCTGCGCGCTGGAGAACATTGTATCCTTGCCACTCAGGAGTGATGAAGTTGTCGGCATGCTTCTCGATAAAGCCGCCGACGGCCTCGAATATTGCCTTGGCGTCGGGATGCTCCGCGGCAGCGCTACCAACGACGATCATTGGCCGTTGAGCGGCAGCAAGCTTTTTGCCAAACTCTCCGGACAAGGCAGTCTTCAAGGAAGAGACATCGGTACCGAGGTGGTCGAAGTCGAAGGTGCTCTCGAACTCCTCACCAACAAGACCAATCTCAAGATCGGACCTAAGATACTGCTTGCGGATGCGAGCGTTGAGGACTGCGGCTTCATGGCGGGGGTTTGTCGCAACCAGAAGAATGGCATCTGCTTCCTCAATGCCATAGATTTTGGAGTTGAACAGGTAGTTGGAACGAACATCAATACCGTGAGCGATAGGGGCGCTGCCACCTGGTTGATCGAGGGCGAGGTTGTCGGAGCCAAGCTTGTTCGCCAGGTCCTTCATGGCGACGAGCGACTCGGTGTCAACCAAGTGTCCGGCAACAGCCTTGAATTCATTAGCTTGCGGCTGGAGCTTTTGATGGGCCGCAGAGATTTCCATGAGAGCCTGTTCCCAGGTTGCGGGAACAAACTTGCCCTCCCGACGAATGAGCGGCGTGGTGAGCCTTTGGGTCTTCAGTCCATCGCACGCAAACCGCGACTTGTCGTTAATCCACTCCTCGTTGATATCATCATTCAACCTTGGGACGACTCGCATGACTTCCAGGCCTCTGCTATCGATGCGGATGTTAGAGCCAAGGGCGTCAAGAACATCGATCGACTCGGTATGTTTCAGCTCCCATGGACGTGCCCGGAAGGCATAAGGCTTCGAAGTCAGCGCACCAACTGGGCACAGATCAATAACATTGCCTGACAGCTCCGAATCGAGGTTCTGCTCGAGGTAGGTTCCAATTTGCATGTCGTTTCCACGTCCAGTCGTTCCCAGTTCGGGGGCACCGGCAACGTCATTCATGAATCGAACACAACGAGTGCAGTGAATGCATCGGTTCATCGAAGTCTTGACCAGGGGGCCAATATTTTTATCCTCCACAGCACGCTTTCCGCCGGTTTCGTGGAATCGACCCCGATCGGCACCATAACGCATCGACTGGTCTTGGAGATCGCACTCTCCTCCTTGGTCACAAACAGGGCAATCGAGGGGATGATTGGCGAGAAGGAACTCCATCACACCTTCTCTAGCCTTGTGAACCAGCGGCGAGTTCGTCTTGACCACCATACCCGGCTGTACTGGCCAAGCACAGGAGGCAACCGGCTTCGGGGCACGTTCGACTTCGACGAGACACATACGACCTGTATGTTTGGTTAGTATGTCTGCTTTGGTAAAAGGGAAAGAAGAAATCAATTCCACGTACAGTTTCCCGCAACCAAAAGTTTTCTTCAAGGACCTGAGGTTAGCGAAAATAATATGCGTGGCTCGATTCGAGGGCACATACTCATGATAACAGTATCTATTGCATGGTTAGCACCTGAAGTAGGAAGTCAATTGGCTAGTAATTGTCTTACCTGGGGACTGTTGCGCCTGCCTGCTCACAGGCTTGGATAAGAGCCGAACCGGCTTTCAAGGGAAGATGTGAGTAAAGGCCCAATGCATTGCCTAGGCTGGAGATTTACCTTCTACCGACACTTTCTTACCATCTAGAGAACAAATGATCAGTTATCGGTCGACCCCGATAAACCAGACTGGGAGTGGACGTACCAATGGTGAGTTCCACCTCGGCCGCGCGAGGGGCTGTCGTCGCGAAGGTCCTGGGGGTGACCTTAGGAACCCGGAGAGACCGGGCGGCCGCACGGAACAGCTGCGGCCGCATGATTGAGAAGAAAACAGAGATGGGAGGGTGGGAAATAGGATGAAGGGTGAGGCGGTGGAATCCTGGTGACAGTTGGGAGGTCAGAGAGCACTTTGCATCGGAATCTGCGGTTACATAATGGGGGTGCTGACCATAACTAAAGCTGACTAAAGACAACACAAATGGATTCACGCGGATTGGCTCGGTTAGGCGGATAAACCCCTGCTCCGACATCCCTTCAAAACCATTCGTTTTGCCCCTTAATGATATTCTTTTCCTCATATAATCTCATTTCACGGGCATCATTTATTGTAGGAGACCGGCGTTTCCTGTTCCTTTTTCCTCTACAGTATGTCCCAAGAGCAGAATTGCGCCGTAGCTGGAGCTGTCAAGGGTTCGCCTAATGATGACTTTGTTCCTTACCGACGGTAGCTACATCACTCTTAATCCTTAGTGGTTATGACTAGGTCCTCATTATACTAGCTTATCAATTGTATACATTTTGGAGAGAAGTTTACACCTAACATTGCCACATCACATCTATTGAAAGTCCGGTTTCGGTCTTGTAAATTTGACAGTTGTACAACCGATTGGGTTGGCAAGAACATGCCTTGCGCCAAAGTGAACAACCCAGATGGGTCAAAAGACAAGGGGATATTAACGTAAACTCCCCGAACAACACCCCAACGCCATCATATCGTACAATGAACTAATGAAACATAGGTGCTAAGCTGCTGCTTGGGAATCACTGACCTGCCAAGTGGATTCTTGCTTGGTTCCTGGTAACCATGTACGAGAAACACTGGTTCCTCTAGGCCGTACACGTCCCGGTCCATCATCTTCCTTTTTGGAGCTGTTTGCTGCCGCATGTGAGTTGTTAAGATTGGATGCCTCATAGTTTCTACCTGCGGGAAAGGCATAGCCATTCGAGTCCCACGGTTTGCTCGAATGTCGCACATTCATCGGAAGTATGGACTTTTCGGCACGGAAATGATCTGCATTTGCCCTTTGGTCGGCCACATCGTCATGGCTGTTGCGGTCGTAAAGGTAGAGACCCACGAAAGTGAGACAAATACCAATTGCTTGAATCGGCGTGGTCGAGCTCCCAAACCAGACAATCGCCACCACAATCACAAATACGCGCTTGACCAAGGATGCTACAGAGTATGACACGGGAGAGATCATCGACAGGAGTACAAAGGCCAAGATGTTCTGGGCAAAATGTGAAACTCCGTTGAAGATGAACTCGATGAGAAGTGCACCATGGTCCAGTGACCCTTTCTTCTCCGACAGCGATATCACACCATCATTGATAAAATCAGATACCAATGGGTAACCCTCGGTGACAAACCAAATAGGCAGAGTGAGGAAAAAGGCCAGCCCAGAGCAATAGCAAAGGAGGTTGAGTTTGTCTAGCTTGCGTCGCCCCGGGTTCTGCAGTTCTGATTCCGCACGGTCTGCCTCGTTGAAAAGCTTCTTTGAAAAAATGTTTTGCGAAACAAACACAATAGCTGCGGCGAATGCGCAAAAAATCCCGAAGAAATTTGTGGATACCCCAGTCGAGCACGCAAGCATCACTCCCATAGTAAGTGGGACTAATGATAAATATGTTGCCCGTGCATAGCGGATGCGGAACAAAATCCTGTATGCGAGAACCGTGAAAAGAGGGGAAAGACCCTTGATAGTATGGACCAGAGAAACAGGAATTTGTGCCGTGGCCATTGAGCTGAGAATGTGACCGGCTAGTTGAAATACTGCCAGAGGCAGGGCTGTAGATATGACCTCCCGGGACGGATAGCGGATACCATGTTGAAGTACCGGGATGCTTTGTCGTAATCGAGGTATAATCGTGGAAAGATATACCAACAACAAACACCAAAAGGAGACGAATGCGAATTGGACGATGGTCAGAGTAATAGGCATCGGAAGGGCGTTCAAGATCGACTTCGATGAGGTGTTTGTGAGGGCTGAGGTAAAGTACCAAATGACACATAGCGCCTTGGGGATGTGTTAGCGCAATCAAGGCCCGCCAACCCGCTCATGAAACAACATACAGTCAATCGGTAGGATACTGGCGCACGGAGAGCTTCGGCCAATTCGTGGGCGTTGGCACTCATGCTGCCGTTGCGCGTTCGAATGGTTGATATGGCCTCGCTAATACTCTTCCGTGGGCGATGCTTGGGGTTTCTCAATGGCCCGTTGGCATGTTCTCGCGAGTAGAAACTGGTTTTCCGGGGTTCCCAAAGCTCGTTTGGGGCATATTTGACGGAAGCACTTCGGTTGGGACGAGTTGTCCCCGCGACTGTCTCGATGGTGTCCTCATAGGGTGGAAATTTATCAATGGGGCTGCTGGTTGATTGGGAGGCGGAGGACTTTGGTATTTGCAATTCAGTTTGTCGCATGGAGGAGCGTCGCCCATGACCGGTCACTGTGGTTGTGGCCATATTCTGGGGGAGGAAGACGTTAAAGAAAGCAAGCGCGAAAAACACCCGGTGTCACTTACCAAGGACCTGAATTCCGAGAGTTGGTTGTTTGATGGGGGTTGAGAAAGGGTGGGCTAGGTTCGATGACGAATCTCCTCGAGCGAATAAGCGTCGAGTATAAAGGACACACGCTTCCGGACACTGTCGCCGCACTGAGAGAAGTAAGGGATTCGGTAAAAAGGCAAGGTAGAAATTGTTTAAAAGGATATCTGACTCGCTTTTAATTTTAAGATGGATAATTCGGCAACCTCCGATGTAGTTACATGTACCCGTATACCATGCCATTTCCCTGATATCTTGACGTTTCTATTAATAGACACCATGTACATGTACATGTACATGTACAGTCAACTTAAGTTAACTTAACATTAACATTAACTTGCAATGTGATATTGATCTCGTATATCACGTGATATTATATGAGGATATATCTACACTTCAGTTGAATCTTTGCTCAAATACTTAGATGCGCCGGTTCTTGACATTTAACATTTGTTCTCTCCCAGGCTTTAGATATATACGTGAATATTAATATGAACTGTAGATACTCTGATCATCTGGGGACCAAAACGCACTTCAGGCTCACCAAGTTTGAAGACCTATACTTGGTTCAGGAACACGAAGAATTACCAATAAATGCATAGAATACCTTGCCGGAGTTGAACCCGTGGTTTCGTAGAGCTGTAAATGTTCGTTGCTGTTTCCAGCTTTGCCTCGTGCTCCTTCCTGGTCTTCTTACTCTTGCCCTCACTTCTTTCTCTCCTTCCCACTTCTCTCTTCTCTTTATCCCATGTTCTTCAACTTCATCTCCTGAAATCCCCAAATGTTTACTGTCATCTCGTGAGAATCTGCCCAGAATCCTTTTCGTTGCATGTAAACTCACTTGGTTCCAACAAGCCTCTCTGTCCCAACCTTCACTCGGCGGCTTTCTCACATTTTCATTTTTTCGTCTTTTCTTGTTTCTCTTTTCTGATTCTGTCTCTGTTTTCATCCTTGTTAGTTGACAAAATGTCTACCCTAAGCGGGCCTTCGACGCTTGGTCGCATAGGTAGCGAAACACACTTTATTCCCCATGATGGCATCGATGGGCGAGCTCTCTCTTTTGGACACGAGCAATCGGTATGATCCTTTCACATGACGGCTTTGAAATGAGTTCATCACATGCTGACTGCGCTGCTCATTATAGGGACACCAAACCCCAACTACTCGCTACGGCTCTTCTGACCCTATGGAAGTCTCTCGCCATGGAAATATGCAACTTCCATCTAGTGATGGGGCAGAGCATTCGTTGAGCAAGGTGTGTCTCTCATGGTACCAATCCTTTGTGCATGTGATCTCACAATCCCAGAAGCAGAAGCTAGATCACATCAAAGCTGAACCTTTGAGTGGACAACCATCGGATTTTGAGAGAATACTGGCAACTCTCTCTCCCAAATCGATCCAAACCACCCGTCCCGAAGCTGATCCTTCCTCTGGACCGTCCCAGGTTGCCCCAATTATCGAATCACTGCCAACTCCATACGCCACAGTTCCTCATCAATCCCACAGCCAGGAGGATAACACGGTGGAGTTGCGTCGTCTCAAGCAAGAGCTGCTGGCTGCAAACTCAAAAATAGCTTTGCAGGAGCAAGAGCTCGCCCAGACCCGCGTGATAAAGCATACCTTAGACCAAGCCCTTGGTCCCCCATCCGAGGCAGATTTCAGCAGTCGTGAGATAAGAGAACAAACCATCAGTCCCTTGCAGAACGTTTTCAATGGGTCGAGCTCTGCTTTCGGCCAATTCCAAGATTCTTGGGCTGGCCAAGACGACTCACAGTCTGATATCTCGGAGCCATTGTCTACAGGACCCTACGGTGGATCTCGCGGGCCGTGGGCCCGTCTTGAGCCTGCTCTCGACAGGGACTATAGTGTGCCTCTTTTGGTCTCTAACAATCCCGCAAGCCAGGATCCTAGCCGATTCTGGGCCACTTCTGGTATCTATCCTCCGTTCACGGGATCCTCGTCTCTACAACCCCAGAGAATCCTTTCGAGGCCTTCGGCCAGTCCATGCGCGTTCTACTCGCGTCCCATGGGCGACCAGACGCAGTTTCCCGCAGGCTCAATTCCTGGACCTCGTCGCCTTAACACTCAATGCAGCCGTGGCGGGTCTCTGTTCCCAGCCCGGTCCACTCCTTGGAGTGATTTCTCTTCTGCATCTTCCAGTGACCAGACCCCGAAGTCACCGACGTCACCCGCAAAGAGACCTCTCAGTGCTTTGCAACAGGCCGGCCTTTACCCAGTGCCTTCTTACCATCCCCGGCCAATTGGAAGCCCTCTTTCTCCTACTGCCAGTGAGTTTATGGGTTCCAGTGCTAATGATAGCTCTTGGTCCACTTCCGCGGTAAGAACCCTGGTCAGCATGTATCCTTCGTTTGAACTTACTCTGATATTTTCCAGATGAGCGGCAATTCCATTCAAACATACGTGTCGCCGCTTGAGCCTCTCAACTACCGACGGCTCCTTGACAAGAACGTGTCATGTGATTGGAAATATATTGTAGACAAAATAGTCTGCGGTAACGATCAACAAGCTTCGATTTTCTTGCAACAAAAGCTGAAAGTCGGCACAACCGAACAGAAACATGATATTATCGAGGCAATTGTTCACCAAGCCTACCCACTCATGGTCAATCGCTTTGGAAATTTCCTTGTCCAACGCTGTTTTGAGCACGGAACCCCAGAGCAGGTTGTTGCCATCGCCAATGCAATCAGAGGCAATACACTAAATTTGAGCATGGATCCATTTGGCTGCCATGTGATTCAAAAGGCTTTTGACTGTGTCCCAGAGGAGCACAAAGCTTTGATGGTGCATGAACTCCTTCGCAGAATTCCCGAGACAGTGATCCATCGGTATTCCTGTCATGTTTGGCAAAAGCTCTTCGAGCTTCGGTGGAGTGGTGAGCCTCCACAAGTGATGATCAAAGTGAACGAGGCACTACAGGGGATGTGGCACGAGGTTGCTCTGGGGGAGACGGGTAGCTTAGTTGTTCAAAACATCTTTGAAAATTGTGTCGAGGATGAAAAGGTGAGTGTCCCTGACCCCTTGAGCGTCTCATACCGACGGGGGATTTCCCTTCTCTTGGGTAACTTATTCTTTCAATGAATACTAATGATTAGAAGCGACCGGCAATTGAAGAAGTGTTGGCAAAGATTGATGTACTCGCTCATGGGCAATTCGGAAATTGGTGCATCCAACACATCTGTGAGCACGGTGCTCCTCATGACAAGAGCCGTGCTGTGGAGCATGTTCTCCACTGGGCTGTTGATTACAGCATGGATCAGTTTGCATCTAAGATCGTGGAAAAATGCCTCAAGATCGGAGGTACGGAGTTCATGGATCGGTATCTCACTCGCGTCTGCATCGGGCGTTCTGACCGACCTCGCATGCCATTGATTGATAGTAAGTTGCTCAGACCTCGACCCAGAGACAAAAAAAAGCACAATACTAACTTATATTTAGTAGCGGGAGACCAGTATGGCAATTATCTTATCCAATGGATTCTGATGAATGCTCCGTCACACCAACGAGAGGTTGTGGCCAGTCATATCAGGTACTACTTACCCCAGCTCAAGTACTGAACCGTTTCAAGGCTAACCTGCTTTTGATCAGAAAACACATGGTCTCTCTTCGTGGCTCCAAGTTCGGCTCTCGTGTGGCTATGCTTTGCTGTAACCCGTCTCATGCTACTCGCCCAGGTCCCGGTGCCGGTATGCAAATCGGTCGCTTCAACAACTTCAATGAAGACAAGTTTTCAACCACGAGCCAGCCCAGTGGTCGATTCGGCCGTGGGCATCAATGGGGACCCAATTATGCGCCCGTCCATTGAGTCTGTCTCTTGACACCCATTGATCGTCTACGAAGAAAAACGACAAACGAAAAAAGGGAAAACCCCCCCATGTTACTGATTGCGTTAATCATTTTACCCTATTTCCAGGTCTAGCAGCTTGTGACTCATTACCTGCCAGCGTTCATTCAATATTGTTGAATCCAACTGCTCATCAATCTTGCGAATCATTACTGCTTGCCGATTTATCAGATTGGCTTGCTATTCCCAATCACCATTGTGCTATTCAGTCGGATGGATCAAAGCTTTCAGCGTGTCATGTTAATTACAGAGAAAATGATATCGTTATTCCAATATTCTAATCTCATCTCAATATCGCCGAGTGCCTCAAGGAGCACCAGTTGCGGTCTCACTGGGAGCGGTTTCCAGGTCTTCCTTCTCCCAGGGTTTCCGTCGCCGGGGTTTCTCGCTCGAGATATCATGTCCAGTCAACACTGTATCCGGTATGTCCTGAATTCCGGGAATTGGTTGTCCAGTAGTGATCAGTTCCACAATATGCGCAAACGACGATGGATAAGCGGGCTCTGCATTTGTTGAATCTGCCATGTTCTGTTCTGGGGATAACCCAGTAGATGCCTGCGACGAGTCTTCCTGGCTGTCTGGAATTTGGGACTTTCCCGTTGACTGTGACGCCAACCATGACTTGAAGGCCGCAAAGTCAATCGCTGGGGCGAGCTTTTCTTTTCTGTGGCCCAATGGCATATTAGTCGTTAAATAAATCTATATAACCCATAAAATGCAACTATACCGTGAGTAAAAGAAACACTTTGCTTGTAAAACAAGGTCATCATCTCGATTCATCTCCGCCTCAGTGGCGGGGGTGTCGGGGTGACCGAGTATGATTGAGAGACCATTGGCAAATTCGGGATCTGTATGGAAAGAATACGACAGTACTCGCTCGAAATCTTGAATCGAAGGTTGCGCCATCGTTGAGGAATATATGTTTGAAGGATACCTGAGATGCGGAGGAGGCGTGGGGCTAGTCAAGCTAACCGAGGCCCGTTGACCTTATATCGAACCACCGATCACAACTCTGTATCCTACAAAGTGTATGCGAAGAATTTACTATAGGTTTAAATCTTGTGCTCTTCCTTTCCCGCTTCTTTAAAATGTTGTATTTCTGTACGTACAGGCGCCTTGCTCCATGCTGCCCTTTGGGCCTGTGAAAATGAAGATAAATGGGATATCCCGGGAGTGACGCCAAACCCATGCAATTTTGAAATAATCACCAGCCCTAGATTGTGGTATCCATGCCCTCAGCTGTTGGCTTGGGCGCGGAGTGCAGGCTTGTGCTTCTACTTTGGCACCCAGGACAGTTGTGTACGACCTCATGTGCAAAGAGATCGCAGTCGATACAGAAATGGTTCTGACACGCTGTACACTCGTAGCGACTGCTCACACTCATTCCCTTGGTATGGTTCTCGATTCCTTGCCATTGATCCTCTGGGGGAACGGGTGGGAAAGAAATACCGCAGGCAAAGCAAGCAGAGCTTTGTGAGGCTCGACGCCACGGCACCTCGACCCAGTTGATCAAGGGGAATAGATGATGATACGAGCGTGCCAGGTGAGTTGAGAGAATTAATGTAAGTCCACAGGATGGACACTCCGCAGGAAGACTACACACTTTGCTATTGCATCGTGAGCAGAGATAGCCTCCTCGCGAGGGCTTTGAATGACACGCGCAGAGAGAAGGGTTGGACTCCACTGTACGAGAAGGGAACCCCATCATTAGCAAAGAGCTCGCAGATTCCTTTCGGGAATAAGCAGCCGGGGGTGTCGTTACGTCCATCATCAGCTCTCGAAAGTGTTGTTCATTCAGTGCCACTCCATACGCTGTCTCGTCCCCGCCACTTGTTTTGGTGCAAAGCTCACGGCAGATTGCAACCTGCGCGGCGAGACCGACGATCCCAACTCGGATCTTGTCGCTGATCAGGGTACTTATTGTTTGGTGGATGTCTCCAGGGTCAGAGGAGAGGAGAGACCCAAAAATGATCAACACTTCACGAGTGCCATGGCTCGGCGTATGGCTACATTCATGGATTAGTTTTGTTCGGGTAGGCTGTCTCCGACACGGGGACATACAAAAGCGCACCACGTGCCATCTCTAATCCGTTTTGGAGGCTGGGAAGACCTTTGGGATCCTGTGTTTTTAGCGCTTGAATGGCCGCGAGATGCTCCGTTGGATTGCCGCTCATATCACTGACTCGAAGGGCAAGACCATCTCTCAGTCCAAGGACGCCGAGCTGGGAAATGGGGTTTTGCTCAAAGAATTCTCTCACAAACTCCTGGGCATATCGAAGCGTTAACAGGTACCGTGTCGGTCGTAGGTCTTTCTCGGACATAGACTGTGAAAGATCGATTATGAGGATGAGATGTCGAATGATACCGCGCTGCAGTGGTGTCGTATCTTTCAATAGCCTGCGCGATGGGAACAAGTTAGCAACGAGACGGATAATCAATCAACGAGGCTCACCTTTTCCGTTTGCCCGCCTCCAGAAGGCCCTCGACGGTCGAATTGATGGTTCCATCTGCACCTTCCACCAGAGTCTCCCAGGTTCTGGATAGCTCCCATTCTGCGCCTCCGCGCTGCTTTCTTTTCCTGGCCCGTGTGTCGCCTCGAGTCACCTGAAGATCATCTTCATCCTCTGTTACCTCGCCCACATATTCTTCGTCGGAGTCGGCCATAGTTGCAGTTGTGTGAAGGAGGCGGAATCGTTACCCGTTGAAAATGGGTCCAAGCTCCGACGGAGCTCCGTTTGGAGATGCAAACCCTTTTCTTTCCTTTTCGTTCCTCCCTTCCACCGTCGTTTTCTTTTTCAGGTGTCCGACGATACCCGTAGACGGTTAAGCTAAACCCGCCGATGTGGGGGAGAAGATCCGTTGCGAGACGAGCTGGCGTAGCAGTTGAAGCCGTCCGTCCAGTCTCTCTCCGCCCCTCCCCCTCCTCTTCTCTCTTTTCCTCACTTTCCTACTTGCGTGCCCCTCGATTGCGTTCTCGTCTACCTGCACCAGCTGCTAGAATAAACCTCAATTTTATCCCTATTAGACATTGTTCCGCTGAAGCCCGCATGATGGCGTCCCAAGACAGAGAAACTCTTCCTGACGTGTGAGTGAATTCCCACTGGAGTTTTTTCGGTGGTTCCCATCTCCTACAGCTATATTTGATCACGTTTTCTCTCTGTAATATGCCTGTTGACAAAGAGCTAACACCGTAATAGGGCCAAGCCTGTCAACTACCACGTCTCCCTCTTCGACTTGCAGTTTGGTGGCTCGTGGGAATACAAAGGAGCTGTCAAGATTGATCTCAAGGTCACCAGCCCTACCAGCGAGATTGTATTGAACTCGAAGGAGATCAAAGTGCAGACTGCTGAGATTTTAGGAAAAGACGGTATGCATGGGAGAGCATTTCCGACATGACATAGAGCATGGAAGACACTGATACTGGTCTGTCACTTAGGTAGTCAGTTGGCCGAATCGTCCAATATCACCTACGACAAGAAATCGGAGCGAGTAACCTTTGCTTTCTCGCAAGCAATCGCACCTGCAAACGTTATCTTGTCGATCAATTTCACCGGTACCATGAACAATGCTATGTCCGGTTTCTACCGCTCAAAGTATAAGCCTGTTGGAGAGCCATCTGCCGATACTCCCAAGGAAGACGAATTTTATTACATGTTGAGCACTCAATTCGAGTCCTGTGATGCACGCCGTGCTTTCCCTTGTTTCGACGAACCGAACTTGAAATCCACCTTTGACTTCGAGATTGAAGTTCCGAAGGGACAGACTGCGTTGAGCAACATGCCTGTTCAGTCGGAAAGAGATGGAAGCAATCCCGGATTGAAGTTCGTGACCTTCGAGAAGACCCCGGTGATGAGCACCTATGTCAGTACAACCCAGATTCAATGAGTTGCTGGGATTTCGGATCACTAACGCAAGCTTTCTACGTGCAGCTTTTGGCCTGGGCAGTTGGTGACTTTGAATATGTTGAGGCCATGACCCAGCGCAAGTACCAGGGCAAGAGTATTCCTGTTCGCGTCTATACCACACGGGGTCTCCAGGACCAGGCTCGTTTTGCGCTGGAATGTGCTCACCGAACGGTCGACTATTTCTCCGAGGTCTTTGAGATCGAGTACCCGCTCCCCAAGGCTGATCTCCTGGCTGTTCACGAATTCGTAAGGGACCGTCATTGTCCACATTTTCTGAAGCCTTTCTGTGCTAATTATTCCGTCTCTAGGCCATGGGAGCCATGGAAAACTGGGGTCTAGTGACATACCGAACCACCGCCGTTCTTTTCGATGAAGGAAAGTCTGACAACCGCTATAAGAACCGCATCGCCTATGTTGTAGCTCACGGTTAGTCCCCAGAATCCGCCCCCGGGCTTCCAGACATCAATGAAGCACTGTTAGCTGACCAATACATCACAGAGCTGGCTCACCAGTGGTTCGGTAACCTTGTCACTATGGATTGGTGGAATGAATTGTGGCTGAATGAGGGATTCGCAACCTGGGTTGGTTGGCTTGCTGTTGATCATTTCTACCCAGGTAAGTTCTTATTCCATCCTATGTGCGTTTTTGTCCAGTATATCTGACGTGCACTCAGAATGGAACGTTTGGTCTCAGTTTGTCGTACGCAATTCCCGAGGTAAACATCCTGCCAAGACCAATGTTGACGTTATCACAGGCTGAAGGTGTGCAACAAGCATTTCATCTCGACTCGCTGCGCGCATCCCACCCAATTGAGGTTCCCGTCAAGAATGCTCTCGAAGTCGACCAAATCTTCGATCATATCAGTTACTTGAAGGGAAGCTCTGTCATTCGTATGCTGAGCGTTCACCTCGGCAGAGAAACTTTCTTGCGCGGAGTTGCGGACTATCTCAAGTCTCATGCATACGGTAAAACATGGAACAAGAAGTTCACCGCAAACATTTGCTAATTTTCCTTATAGGAAATGCCACCACGAATGACCTGTGGTCTGCCTTGAGCAAGGCTTCTGGTCAGGATGTGCATTCTTTCATGGTGAGTGTTGATCATTTGTTGGGGAGGAGTAATATCTAACTAATTACCCAAGGATCCCTGGATCCGCAAGATTGGTTTCCCGGTTGTCACAGTGGCAGAGGAACCTGGCCAGATCAGCGTTCGACAGAACCGATTCCTGTCTACTGGCGATGCAAAGCCTGAGGAAGATGAGACAAAGTGGTGGATTCCTCTTGGCATCAAGTCCGGACCGGAGCTGGCCACTGTCGATACTCGTGCTCTCACCGCAAAATCTGACACCGTTGGTGGAGTTGGCGAGGACACTTTCTACAAGATTAACAAGGACCTATCTGGGTTCTATCGCACTAACTACCCCCCTGGCCACCTGGCCAAACTCGGTCAGTCACTTAATCTGCTGAGCACCGAAGACAAGATCGGTCTACTAGGTGATGCAACTGCTCTTGCAGTCTCCGGAGAAGGCACCACGCCTGCTTTGTTGACTCTTTTGGAAGGGTTCAAGGATGAACAAAATTACCTGTGAGGAACCTACCCCCTCTAATCTAGGTTTACTTTACCTAATAATTCCATCTACAGTGTTTGGTCTCAGATCTCTTCATCTTTGGCAAATCTCCGCTCGGTTTTCTCCCAGAACGAGCAGGTTGCCGACGGACTGAAGAAGTTCACTCTCAAGCTGGCTTCACCAGCCGCTGAAAGGGCTGGCTGGGAGTTCCAGACCAATGAGGACTACCTCATTGTGCAACTCCGGAAATTGCTGATTGCAATGGCGAGCAATGCTGGCCACAAAGAGTAGGTACCTCCTTCTATACCTGAAATATGTTTGAGCGTCTATTCTGATACAGTCTCAACTCTTATAGCTTTGTCTCGGAGGCCAAACGCCGTTTCGACCTCTGGGCTGCTGGCAAAGATGTCAATGCCATTCACACCAATTTGCGGTCGACTATTTTCAGCATCAATGTGTCGGAGGGTGGCCGTAAGGAGTTTGATGCCGTCAAGGAGGAATATCTCCGGACCGACTCCGTGGATGGAAAGGAGATCTGCCTGTCTGCTCTTGGTCGCACCAAGGATCACGCCCTGGTGCAGGAGTACTTGGACTTTGTGTTTTCGGATAAGGTTGCTGTCCAGGACATCCACAGCGGCGCTGTGTCTTTGGCTGCCAATTCTAAGGTCCGCCACCTGCTGTGGCAGTACATCAAGGACAACTGGACTGCTGTTTCTACTCGGCTGTCATTCAATAACGTTGTCTTTGAGCGCTTTGTTCGCATGGGCCTATCAAAGTTCGCCGATCACCAGATCAGTGATGACATCACGGCCTTCTTCAAGGACAAGGACACGAGCGCCTATGACCGCGCACTTGTCATTGTCGCGGACAACATTCGAACTAATGCATCCTACAAGGAACGCGATGAGGCGTTGGTTCTCGAATGGCTGCGGGCGCACGGCTACGCTTAAATACACGTTTAGGATCTATCGTCTAGCAATACTCTTTTCTTTTTGAATCCAATGGATTTTTCGTTTCTGTCACATCTTATCTTGCGGTGGCTTCGGTCTGTTTACTGTAACCTCAAAAAGTATTTAGATCCATCCACGAGGCGGAGTTTAGCACGGGATAGCGTCAGTTGGTGAAGCAGGTGACATGAGATTGTCCAACCTGTTTCAAGCAGATTTCCAGACAAGTCAGTAAATAAAACTGCCTATAGAGATTCCCCAAACTTTTTATAGTATACTCCTGACCCAAAGGAGCGGTGGGTTGTGACGTGAAACAAAGCTGCACATCAGGTGCGTCTGGCCACCTGCACCTCCTATCATTTCAGGCGACTGTTCCATCATTGTCCCCTCCCCCGACTTAGCACTTCGAACTCTTCCATCACTTGCTTTTCCTGGCTATATTCCTCTGGACTCGGTCCTCGATTAACTTCTCTTTTCCCGTGTTACCGGTTTCCTGTGCCCATAATGAATCCCGAGTGGTAAGCCTTCATGGAGATTCCCCCAAATTCCCCTTGCGCCAAAGGAGTCCGGTTTGGATCCTAATTCTCAGTGCGTGGTGTCTGACTGATGTAATGTTGATTTTTAGAGTATCGTCGCGTCGCCTAATTTTCCTTCAACCGAACCCCCAAACTTGCCGATCTGCGTTTGTTGCCTAACCATCCAAATAGATATGACTACCTGTTCAAGCTACTCCTCATCGGTGACTCCGGTGTTGGAAAGTCCTGCTTGCTTCTCCGGTTTGCCGACGATACCTACACCGAAAGCTACATCTCGACCATTGGTGTCGACTTCGTACGTCTTGGAATCCGCGGGGTATCTGGCCTACAAGGGTGCTGACATATGGACTGCTGTAGAAAATCCGCACAATCGAACTCGATGGCAAGACTGTGAAGCTTCAGATCGTACGGCTATATTGGACGCAAGATAATTTCGAGGCAAACGCTAACGGTCATGCAGTGGGATACCGCCGGTCAGGAGCGATTCCGCACTATCACATCTTCCTACTACCGGGGCGCTCACGGAATCTGCGTGGTTTACGATGTCACCGACATGGATTCCTTCAACAACGTGAAGCAGTGGCTCCAGGAGATTGACCGGTACGCCACCGAGGGCGTCAACAAGCTGCTTGTTGGTAACAAGAGTGATATGGAGGACAAGAAGGTCGTGGAATACACTGTGGCCAAGGTATGCTGTTCGGGCTAGATTTAAAGATCGGTGCCTACAATCAGAATCAGAGCGTTAACCCAACTTGTCTGCACCATTATAGGAGTTCGCCGATAGCCTCGGAATTCCTTTCCTCGAGACCTCCGCCAAGAACGCGTCGAATGTTGAGCAGGCTTTCTTGACGATGGCACGACAGATCAAGGAGCGCATGGGAACGGCCACCGTTAACAACAAGCCAACTGTTCAGGTTGGCCAGGGGCAAGGTGTCCAGTCCGGATCGGCAGGCGGCTGCTGCTAGATGACACGATATTCTCTGTGGTGCGGTGCTTCCATTTGGCGCAATGTTACATCATGAAATGAGGGTTTCCAAGCGTGGTATTTAATCGGCAGGCTTGTCAAACTTCTTTGAAACATGGCATGGTCCAGACGAGCCCGGAGACTTCTCCACGGGGCCAGCAAACTCGACAGTGCCGTTAGGGTTCCTTACTCGTCTTCACATTGCTTTAGACGGCTTGCGTTTTGTCCTCGTTTCTGCTTTTGCTTATGCGATTATCGCTGGCTTCTGCGTTTTCATGCTTCTCTGACCACGTCTCTGACTTCCTTGGCCCATCATTCTCTCCGTGTCTTCTCTTTATTTTCTATTTTCGCTTTCTTATTGTAGGTTGGATTTTTCTTGTGAATGGACTAATGGCGAGAACTTGAGCATTCGGCCCCACGGCCTCTGTAAACTGTAAACTAAAATGTAGAGTTGTAGTGCCTAGGCACTGATATTATCACATGCAAATGTCATGTTTAGAAAGTATGAGATATCGATATGCTCGAAAGGTGACACCTGATACCATGTGAAACAGCCCAAGATCGAACCCAGGCTCTACTATAACAGATGCACCTTATAAGTTACTCCCGGAAGTGGAGTTGGGCGGGAGCCGAGGCACACTTCATTCGGCAAAACGTCATGAACGTCCCCCAGCCGAATCATTCTCGCTCCCTGTATTAGGTTGATTCCTGACTCCTGACTTCTAATCTTTCACCCATTTGCCCCCTTGAACTCCTTTTGATTCTTGCGCATTATATCGCCTGTCATCTGTCATCTGTCATCTTACCATCGCCCGTCATCCTCAGCCTCCTTCCTTTCACCATGTCCCAGCCAGGAGCAGAACAGAGAAAGGCGGCAGCATCTGCTGCTGTCCAGCAGAGTGACAACATTGCGCACGCGCTGTCTGGTGCGGGAGGTGGAATCCTGTCAATGGTCTTGACGTGCGCTTCCCCGCCTTTGACTCCTATGAATGTCGCTAACCCATCTCCACTCTAGATACCCTCTGATCACTTTGTCGACGAGAGCCCAGGTCGAGTCGAAGCGCGCACACTCGACCACCCTTGATGCTGTACGCCGCATTGTGCAGAGGGAGGGTATTTCCGGGCTTTACTCGGGTCTGGAGTCCGCGCTGTTCGGGATTAGCGTGACCAACTTCGTATACTACTACTGGTACGAGTTTACTCGTTCGGCCTTCGAGAAGGCTGCAATTCAATCAAATCGAGCATCCAAGAAGCTCACGACTGTTGAGTCTATGATTGCTGGTGCTATTGCAGGGAGCGCAACCGTGCTAATTACCAACCCGATCTGGGTTATCAACACTCGCATGACTGCCCGCAAGTCTGAGGCCGACGAGCAAGCCCTTCCCGGTGCCAAGAAGTCAAAGGCATCCACCCTTAGCACCCTCATGGACCTGCTTCGGGAGGAGGGCCCCAAGGCCCTGTTCGCTGGTGTCCTCCCGGCGTTGGTCCTAGTGATCAACCCAATCTTGCAATACACCATCTTCGAGCAATTAAAGAACATTGTAGAGCGCCGCCGGCGGATGACACCCAAGGATGCATTCTACTTGGGCGCGCTCGGCAAGATCATGGCCACCAGCATCACCTATCCCTATATCACCATTAAGAGCCGGATGCATGTGGCCAGCAAGGATGGTCCCAAGGAGAGTTTGAATGGAAGCTTGAAGAGAATTATTCAAGAAGAGGGATGGAAGGGGCTTTACAAGGGTAAGACGTTCTGTAGAGTATGTCTGTTGCTTTTCGCTGACTCTTGTCCTTTCCTTTAGGCATTGGTCCTAAGGTTACTCAGAGTGCCATTACTGCCGCGTTCCTATTCGCCTTCAAGGATGTGCTGTATGATATGATGGTCTCTGCCCGCAAGAGAGGCCGCCTCGGCAAATAAGCGAGAAACCGCCTTTCCCGGACTTCCAGGCTTTTACGATGCCTTATGACCCTTGTTCTTATGCGCTTTGTGATAGAACCTCTCTTCTCTCACCACATATAGTGGCAAGAAACTAATGTCGGATCACTTCTGCTCATTAGTCCTAGGGACTTGTCTGGATGTGGGCTTTGCTCGTGCTTCACATTGTAAATATCGTGACTTGGTGCTTCGCTCCATGCATAGGCTTTGTGCCCATGTATATTCTTGGGGATTTCCTTTGAAGTGATACCCCGCAACTATGTAGTTTAATTTGAAGTCATTTTTATCCTCTCCCTGTCTTAGTATTTGCTGCCTGAATTGCCCCAATGAGCTTGTTATACATTATAGTTTACGGGCTGGTCTCTTATTCCCTTGCCTTACAGCCGTTGCATTCTCAATAACCCCTTCTCAACTTGAATTGAGAAGTCGAGTTGCTGCTATAGTTCCTGACCGCCTCGACTCACCGCCCACGCGATTCTTCCGCGTTATCGCGTCTGGACGCGATTCTGCTCAATTACTCCACAGAGTCTTCTGTACCTTTCTGTCTTCAAGACATCACATATTCAGACATTGCCACTGATATTTGTGGCTTGATATCGTCTTCGATCTACAATCCTCTCTCCGGTTTCTGTGGTTCGATTCCTCCGAGTGGGAAACTTCTGATCCGTCAGAAGTTCAAGCCAACCCACCTTTCGATCATCGCATTCTCGATTGACTCTTTGTGACTGCTTCGAAAGCTCATCATTTCCTCAACGTGTCATTGGCTTTGGCTCTTCGGATCTAGGAATCTAGCAGAAGCATCATCTCGAGTCCTCAAGAGGCAGGCTCATCCAAGGAGATACATCTATCTTCTTTCATACCAACCATAACGACAGACTTGCTTGCGCCGAAACAAGAGGATAGAAGCCTAGGGGCTTAAACATTTGGGCGAAAGACAAGACCACAGTTTTGTGATACAAATTGAAAGGGCCGATGTTATGTCTCTCTCACTCTGGAATTACCCAAAGCCAGACGTGAGTGAGAATCGACATTGCTCACAAACTGAAACAGGTACATTACCCTTCTTCTTTTCAAACGAGCCATGACTGATTTGGTTTCTTCAGATTGAGCCCAGTGCCTATGATGCCTCAAAGCATCTCTAACATCAATGGCCAGGTCCCTACATTCCGTGGCCTCACAGCCCGAAGCATCCCGGAAAACCCAGACGTCCAGCGAGAGACCTTGCGCTTGCTGCTGCAATTTTCAGCTTGCTCTTCGCAATCTAGAAGCTCAGAGCTAAAATCTCTATCCAACACCAAGGCGAGAGATGTCCGGCAGCGTGAAGCTTCACAAAGCGAAGGCCCACAGAGCTCTGAAACTACTCTTCTCCCATTTCTCCCACGTAGCTCCTCACAAAGCACATTCGCATCTCGACCCAGGGTCGCTCCTTCCCAAAATGGGACACCCATCGCTCCTTCCCATACGCAGGTCGCTCCTTCCTCAGACATCTCCCAGGACCGGGACAGTCGCGAGACGCGTTCAAACCCGAGGAAACTAGTTGCGATCCCAAATGCAAACAAGAACGATGTGTTTGAGATACCCTCGTCTCAAACCCCGCCTCTCCCTGATCCCTTCCCTATCGTGTGCCCAGACTCAGAACAGTCTCTCTCCCGATCAGCTTCTCCAATGGATCAGCTCTCGGTTCGTCGCTCTGGTCGCACGAGAGCCCAGCCGGCCAATTACTACGCGCGCGTTCGAATTGGCTCTGAAGGGCCGCCTGAGACAAATCGTGACACACCAAAGCCAACTGACACGCTCTCAAACCCGCCTCCACAACAGCCAAGTCGCGTTGTGCCACGTCGCACGAATACCCAAAATCTTCTCTTTGGTCGTGAACTGGGTAGACAACGTCCTATTGATGTTGATATGATCTCGGATCTACGGCCATGGAAGACGTGGAACGGGGCTTCCAAGGATCTTCTCGTCTTGGCCTGGTCTCCTGATGGCACCCAATTTGCGGCAGGATCTGCTGCTGATGTGGATGAACATAATATGCAGTACAATAAAAGGAACAACCTTGTCCTAGGCAATCTTCAAACCAGTCGTTTGAAGGAACTTCCGGACCACTGCATCCCCCGCCCAACATTCTCACCTGTGAATGATCCATATCTGTTTATGAGCGTCACTGCTATGCAGTGGGTGGGAAGCAAGCTCTTCACCGCCAGCTGGGATAAGACTGTCAAGATCTGGGATACTTCGCGCCCGAAGACTCCCTGTGTCCAGACTTTACAACATGACTCTCGAGTTGAAGTTATGTCTGTCTCAAAAATCCATCCTGGCATCCTAGCAACTGGAACAAAATCCATCCTACTTTGGGATACCCGAGATCCCACAAATGTCACATCGACGGCCCTTCCGTTTGATCGGGATTCTCGATACAATTCAGATGCTGATTTCACGTCAACTGTCCTAGCTTGGGGACATACTCCCTCCACAAAGCAATTTTTAGCCGGAGGTATGGCTGATCTTAGTGAGGAAGTAAGCTACAAGGGACACTTGGGCTTATGGCAAGCTCGTGAATCATGTTTCGAGCCCCTCCGAACGTCATATTCACAAAATGTCTTTGATATCAAGTGGCATTCTTCATTGCCACAATTTGCGACAGCTAGCCCTGTAAGTGCACACAATGCACGGATGAAAGGGATTGGAACCAATATCAAATCCATTGTGCGCGTATTCAGTCTGGATTGTGATTTTTCGAAGCGCGTGCCAGCTGTTATGGAATTTTCCTGTCCGGCGCTCGATGTTAACGAGGTGACCTTTTGTCCGACAGATGCGACTGGCACTTACGTCACAGCTAGCTGCACAAACGGTGTGACATATGTGTGGGATAGTCGCAAGGGGGATCAAATCCTTCATCAGCTCCGTCACGGAGAGCCCGTTGTCCCAATTGATCACGAAAGAAGCCGAGATCTAGCAGACGTCGGTGTGAGGGTGGCTTTATGGGGTGCCTCGGTGGACCAATTTTACACTGGCGCCTCAGATGGCGTGCTCAAACGATGGGATATCCGCCGCTCACCTGAGGATGTTCTTCTTGAAAATACAGCCTCTTTCGACACGGGGATTATGTGCGCCGAATTCTCGCATGACAAATCTCATATTCTCGTGGGGGATTCCGGAACGGGGATTCATGTGCTGTCCTCAGGACCTTGCGGAGACCCTGAAATCACCGATTTCAAATTCGAGGCTGCCCCAGATCCCCCAGAGGAACAAATAAACGGCGCCGAAGTTGCCAACGATCTCATATCGTCTGGTCAGCTTGTGCGACATGATCTATTTGGTGTGGGCCAAGGTCCCGCCTACATTGGACCTTTTGCCTCGTGGGCCCGCCAGCTCGAAGACTACACACCCTATACCCAGCTCGGGAATGTCCCATTACTTCAAAAGTACCAAGACCAACAGCTCGACGGTCCGCCAGTTCAAGACCGTCCCACCCTTGATGCGAATCAACGTCGGGAGATCCTCAATCAAATCAAGAATGCTCAGGTTCGAAATGGGAGATACACTTCTTTGCCAGCCCGTGTCAGCACCGAAAGCTCCGCCGATCGTCGTTATCGGGCAAGCCGCTCGCCTGTGTCTTCTCCGAATCTTTCTCTGTCGAGTAAGAGAAAGAGGAGCCAGAAGAAAGATCGTGGCCCTCGCAGAAAGAAAAAGAGATCTATTTTAGAGCTATTGATTACGAATACCGAAAGCGTTGATTTGACTCTCGACTCGGATGGTGAAACAGCTAGTGAGAGCTCGGATTTGAGTCTCTCAATATCACCGCCTAGATTCAATCTTGCCGAACTCGAGGAGGCCCTCGAAGAAGATCATTGGTGGCCGGGTAGTGGGACTTATGATCCTAATATCCAGCAGGAGACAGTCTAGAATCTAGGTGCTTCAATTTGTGTCGTTTCTCGCATTAGCAAGGAGTACAATACTCATTTTGTCATGTCAGCGTGTTATGTTGCTAGGTGTTTATGTATGATAATTGTGTATGCGTTGAGCGATAATTTAACCGGATTTAATCAGACTTCTTTCGCATTTTTATATATAACATACGCGCCTTTGATTTGAACGGATATACTATACTCTTAGGGGATTCCCATATTGTTTGACGGTGTCAAGTCAATTTAGACATACGTAACTATTCTCACATATCAGAGGTAAAATCATATCTAAAGCCAATCATAGTAAATGATATATAGCAGAAAACTTTATACAAATTGCCCAGTAGCCTGCTCACTGATCACTCAGTGATCTATCGGGGGGTTTTATTGCGCACCCAGCCCCTGCTTAGTCGCTTTGCCCTGTAACAACTGTTTATTCCGTGCACTACTTCTTCACAGCCTTACGGAGAAAGCCAGTGGGAAAAGAATGGCTAAATTGTTCATTGACCTTATGCCTGAAGTCCATGGAGTTCTATCCTTCTGGGAAATATAGTACAAAAAGAACATTTTCCCTGAAAGAAAGGGACGTAACTGTGATAAGCTGGAACTTGTCAGCAATGATGTCTAGCCCTACTAGTGAGCAGAATGCGCTTGAGGCCGTACCGGAGTCCCGAAACGGCCCTCTATGCACGCCAGGAGAATATGAGGCGCCCCTGCCTTACCTCACATAGGCAAGTCAACAAGGTAAGACCATCGCCGTTTCGCACTAAAATCGTGTCTAGTTCTGGCCAAGAGGTGAATTCCCTTTCAATGACAATATATTGGGAATGCTTGACCTCGTCTTCTTTCCCTTGAAGATACCACCACCCCGAACCCCGTCGTCTCATGACAGTTCGAAAATGCGGTGCTCGCAAAAGAGACACCCGAAGAAACATGTTCTCTGATGATAAAGCTTGGGAAGAACTAGAGCCTGGCCCATTCAATTGCATCTCGAATCGCATGCGCGGATCATCCACCATCTCACTGGTTTTCAATGTGCTCTGATATGCCCAGTCCTGCTGGTTCGTCCACCGGTCATCCTCTGGGTCCAAACCCGGCCCCAAGCAGGCGTAGCAGAGGTAATACTATGGCAAAGGGCGAGCAAGCCTGGTTAAAAGGTCGACCCGCAGATTTTCGCCCGGCCCTCCTTTAAGGACGCCAGGTAATGGTTCACCTAAGAGGTCATAGAAGCCGGAACAGAAAGCCATAAAATGGTGGCTACACGAAGCCAGGCAAGAAGCATCAACGGGCGATAGATAGTTGGAAATCAGGAACACAAGCTCCGGTGGCAGGATATCCAGTGTCTTTCACGGCATACTTGGTTCATGGAGCATTCAATGCATGGGCACGGCATTCACGAAATCCCAGGTACTCTCTCGGAGCAAGGGGTTTCGTCGCGATTCGTCATAGACGAGATATTAAAGACAAATCCGGAATCCTCCTCAGATAGATCTCGTTCTCGGGGATACACCTAAGATGCATATTGGCCTTAGAGATGATTTCGAAGGTATGTGAGATTTTCCGCTGCTGAATGGCAAGTCTGCGTGCAAGGTCATCTTCGGAGCGGAGCGGAGCGGAGATACGTAGGTAGTAAGTGATGCCAAGAGTAACTTACATACTCTCACATGACATCATCGCACAGCCACCGAGGCGCAGTCGGGTTGCGTTGCGTTGGTGCCTGAGGTTGCCACTCGCCGCTTATCCCCAAGTATATATCGACGGACAAACAGGACCCTCTTTTCCTTTCCATTCACATTTATCTTTCCATCTCTGATCTCAGCTTCAACCTGTCTTCCTGTATCTTTGATCCCTATCTCGCTACATTATCTTTGTTGCAGATACTCCCATGTCGTTCGCCCCGCCTTCCGGGCCTCCCCCGCCCTCAGTACCCGAGGGATGGAAACCGCAGTACGATGAGAGATATCACGCATGGTATGTATCTGTTTCCCACTACATAGCAAATACTAATACTGACAATTGGCTAGGTTCTATGTGAACCTCGCCACCGGCAAATCGCAATGGGAGAAACCCGAGACTGCCGCCCAGCGCGATGATGACAACCTCCCACCTAATTCCCCCCCACCATCATACAACAATGACGGACCCGGTGACCCAGCTGCAATCGCCAGTGCCGGAGACAAGAAGCAGAATATGGGCTCAAACAACCCCTACAACCCGGTGAATACCGGACCGAGCAGCAACAGCCCCAGCATAGACGAAGACGCCCGACTTGCCGCCAAGCTACAGGCCGAGGAAGATGCCCGGGGTGGCACACGAGGCGCTAGAGCCCCCGGTGCATCGACAGACTATTACAACGACCAATCACAGCCGCAATCAACTGGCCCGAGCGGGTACGCACCGGGACCGTCGTCACAAAGTCCGATGCCAGAACCGGAACAGAAACGCAGCAAGGGTGGCTTTTTGAGCAAGCTGATGGGCAAGAGTTCGAGCAGTCGGCCGCAGCGGCCTCAACAGCAGTACGCCTCGTATTCCCAGCGACCTCCCCAACTGGGTGGATACTACGGTGGCTATCCTCAGCAACAGCCTGGGTATGGCTACCCGCAGCAAGGATATGGAGGGTACCCGCCGCAGGGTGGAGGTGGATACTATCAGCAGCAACCGCCTCGCAAGCAAGGAGGAGGCATGGGAACTGCCGGTGCGGCAGCTCTTGGTGTCGGTGGTGGTTTGCTCGGTGGCATGTTGATTGCTGATGCCATAGATGATCACCAAGATTATGACAATGATTATGGCAACAATGACTATGGCGGCGGTGGTGATGACTTCGGAGGAGGTGACTTCTAAGCTCGTTTTTGCTCGTTTTTGTTTTGTTTCTCATTTGAGGTTCTGTTCCACACAGCCTGGGAGGATTCTAGGCGCTTGTGGACATATGGTTTGGGGAGGATTGCTTTTGTTTTTTTCAAACTGCTCTAGCCTTTTCAACGGCATTCGATTCCAACTTGAATTCCTTGAGCTATGAGCAGCTTCAGATAGTAATGTATCATACAACCGGTCATGAAACATTGCCAAAATCTCGTGTCACACAGTAGATTTAATTAAAGGTGATAGGCATCTATCCGCGCCTGCGGGCAGGGCCACTGGTATCCCTACCAGTTGCACCACTCTGAGCTGCATCCGTGTTGGCCGTGGGGTTAGCAGAGGTACCTGCCATCCACCCGGCTAGGTCGAAACCGCCGCCGGCCATGGCATTGTTTGTGGCACCACTAATGGGCGAGGAGCGAGAGTGCTGTTCAAACTCGGCGCGCATTTCAGGATCCACTAGGTATCGAAGTCAGTCACGAAACATCATTGAGAAGAAAGAGCTGGTGGACATACTGTTTTCCATCAGCTTTGGCATGCCAAACATAAGACCCATTGCAACAATTGCGAGCAAGATCATAGGGTTCTTGACAAGACTCAGCGGCGAGACTATGATTCAATGGAAGATTAGCATAATTCAAGGACATAGATATGTGGATGGAGGCAATAACATCTCACATTTAGCACGCTCCTCATAGAAGGCTCTCCGGGCAATGACCTTGGCCTCGACGACCACATCGACCTGCTTTTTCGCAGCAACATCCACGATATACTTTACGGCACCACGATTGTCCCACGGGTTCCCACGGAAAGTCTCCCAGACACCGAGGATAGTTCCATCGGCCGCAACATCGACACGGTAGGGGGCGAAGACGTATTCGCCGGCAGAGCGGATATCGAGCAAGTAAGACTCGGGTTGAGCATCGGGACTAGATGATGGTAGATCATGGAACACAAATGAAGCTGAGCGGGTCAGCGAGGCGGAGAGGATGTGGTCTTTGCCGCTGAAGGGAAGCGTAGTGAGTGTGGCATGGGTGGTTGCGGGGAGGACGTGCGGGTTGGGGAGGGGACTGGAGACCGGGATGGAAATTGTTAGGGAGCTGGAAGAAACCAGACTGCTAATCCCCAGCAGGAGTAAGGAAGAGAGAGAGAGATGCATGGCGGATATGAGTGAAACTGGGCGATGGAGGGCCGTCAATTACCACAGCTAGCAATGTCCACATCACGTGATGTGGTCTTCTTGCGCTCTTCAATGCACGACTCTCGGACTGAATACACCATCAGCTCCAGGGACTAGCGCATCATGCCTGTCTACCTTATTTCCAGGTATGGGAAACCTTCCAATATATCTACTCTCATTGTTCTACATGTCCCGGATGAGACCGGGCATTCTAATGCTTTGTATGACCAGGATCGCGGATCCCCTCTTCGCCCTGACCATGGGTGTCTCTGCTGCTCTCACCCGTATACGCCGTGACCAGTGCGAAAAGTACCCCGGGAAAGCATCAGAAATCAGCTACGGAACCATCGTGCAGACGGGCGGACAGCGGTTACAACGGTGGTGGAACGGAGACTTCCAGGATGTTTAATCGGACTTGCAAATGATTGATCTGGGGTATGGAGTTTGGGATACTCTCAAAGAGAATCCGTGTTAACTGTTGAATTCTGTATATTCTATCTGTACAATTACATGAAATGGTCGTCCATTTAGAGGGACTGGTTGAATTGAAGCCATTACGATCTACGAGTCCATTATTACGAAGAATCTTTAACTGTAGAATGTACAAGGGGATGGATAAGGTGCAATGGACATACTGTCTTGCGAGTTACCCAAAGCCGAGTCCGACGCAACCATGCAACTGCAAGCCACCTGCAGAGCATGATACTTTACAATAACGATGCAATCTACTAATCCTACTAGGAAGAAGGTAATATTTGAATTAAATGAAATTTTGATTCAAACGGGACTTTTTATCCCAAAAGATAGCCTTGTATCTATGCAATCAATCATGCGCAAAAAGAAACCGAATCCCATAAGTTCGTAAAACAAGACGTGTGAAAGGAAACGTCAGCCAAGCAGCAAACAAAGAAGAAAGAAAATCACTCAGAGCGAGACATTTAGTCAAGCTCCTCGGGCTTCTCCTCGACCTCGTCGGCGGAGCGGGCACCACCGGCACCAGCGTCAGCGCCGGGGGGAGCGGCACCACCGTAGGCAGCGGAGATGATGGGGTTGGCAATAGCCTCAAGCTCCTTCTGCTGGGACTCGTACTCGTCCTTCTCAGCAGTCTGGTTGTTGTCGAGCCAGCTGATGACCTCGGTGATCTTGTCCTCAACCTTCTTCTTGTCATCCTCGCTGATCTGGAGCTTGCCCTCACCAAGGGTGTTCTTGAGAGAGTAGGCGTAGGACTCGAGACCGTTCTTGGCCTGAATACGGGTGGCCTCAGCCTCGTCCTCCTCCTTGTACTTCTCAGCCTCGGCAAGCATGCGCTCGATCTCCTCCTTGGAGAGACGGCCCTTGTCGTTGGTGATGGTGATCTTGTGGGACTTGCCGGTACCCTTCTCGACGGCGGAGACGTTCATGATTCCGTTGGCGTCAAGGTCGAAGGTGACCTCAATCTGGGGGACACCACGGGGGGCGGGGGGAATGCCAGTGAGCTCGAACTTGCCGAGCAAGTTGTTGTCCTTGGTGCGAGCACGCTCACCCTCGAAGACCTGGATCAGGACACCGGGCTGGTTGTCAGAGTAGGTAGAGAAGGTCTCGGACTTCTTGGTGGGGATAGTGGTGTTACGCTTGATCAGAGCAGTCATGACACCACCGGCAGTCTCGATACCGAGGGACAGAGGGGCAACGTCGAGCAGGAGGATCTCGTTGGTGGACTTAGAAGACTGGTCACCAGACAGGATAGCGGCCTGGACGGCGGCACCGTAGGCAACGGCCTCATCGGGGTTGATGGACTTGTTGGGGTCCTTGTTGAAGAAGTCGGAAACGAGCTTCTGGATCTTGGGGATACGGGTAGAACCACCGACGAGGACGATCTCGTGGACGGAGGACTTGTCAATCTTGGCGTCACGAAGGACACGCTCGACGGGCTCCATGGTGCCGCGGAAGAGGTCCTGGCAGAGCTCCTCGAAACGGGCACGGGTGATGGAAGTGTAGAAGTCGATACCCTCGAAGAGAGAGTCGATCTCAATGGAGGTCTGAGCAGCAGAAGAGAGGGTACGCTTAGCACGCTCGCAAGCAGTGCGGAGACGACGGAGGGCACGGGCGTTGGTAGTCAGGTCCTTCTTGTGCTTGCGCTTGAACTCGTTGACGAAGTGGTTGACGAGACGGTTGTCGAAGTCCTCACCACCAAGGTGAGTATCACCAGCAGTGGACTTGACCTCGAAGATACCCTCCTCGATGGTGAGGAGAGACACATCGAAGGTACCACCACCCAGATCGAAGATCAGGACGTTGCGCTCACCCTCGACCTTCTTGTCAAGACCGTAGGCGATGGCAGCAGCAGTGGGCTCGTTAATGATACGGAGGACATTGAGACCAGCAATGAGACCGGCATCCTTGGTGGCCTGACGCTGAGAGTCGTTGAAGTAGGCGGGGACAGTGATGACAGCGTTGTTGACGGTGCCACCGAGGTAGGCCTCGGCGGTCTCACGCATCTTGGTGAGAATCATAGCGGAGATCTCCTCGGGGGTGAACTGCTTGGCCTCACCCTTGAACTCGACCTCGACGACAGGCTTGGTAGCCTTCTCGATGACCTTGAAGGGCCAGTGCTTCATATCGGCCTGGACCTCAGCGTCCTGGAACTTACGGCCAATGAGACGCTTGGCGTCGAAGACAGTGTGGTGGGGGTTCATGGCGACCTGGTTCTTGGCGGCATCACCGATGAGACGCTCGGTGTCGGTGAAACCGACGAAGGAGGGGGTGGTGCGGTTACCCTGGTCGTTGGCGATGATTTCAATGCGGTCATCACGGAAGACACCCACACAGGAGTAGGTGGTTCCCAGATCAATACCGACGGCGGGAGCCATTGTGAATGTGTATCGTTAAAAAAGAAAGTTGGAAAGGAAATTCGTGAGGCAAGGTAGAGGTAGTGTACAGGGGGAAAGGGTATTTGGAAAGTGAAAGAGAAAAAGAAGAAGAGTCAAGAGTGTGGGCAGCGAAAACCCGCTATATAGTGAGCGGTGTATTGCTCAGAAGCTTCTAGTAGGGGAGAGCTTCCATGAGGATCCATGAGATTCCACGGGCTTCGATGCCCCAGCAACACCTCACTATGGCCTTCACCTACGCTCTAGTGGGTTCTTGGGATGTCCAATGGAATCCAGAACAGACTCATGACTTCATTTTGCCTGATCCTCACTCTCACGGGCCACAATGCTCGCTCGACATTGGAGTGGTTGACTCATTGACGGTGTTTTTTTATTTTGGCGGGGCAAAAATGATGTAATTAGTGGGATGATTTCGAAAGTACTGGGTCTGTATTAGGATGCAATAATACTAATAATACGAACTTCCATTATGGTGACTGGGCCGGTTGGGTGCGTATGGTATGGTCACACTTGGGCGTCATGATGAATTCATACCATATGATGTAGTGAGTCTGCAGGCATTTGGAGGTTTGGTAGATTGATATTTGTCACTTTTAGCCTCAATATCAAATGTTAAATTATGCTCTTTTTTCTGCTCTTTGGTTGAGTCAAACTGTGATTACGTCATTAGCCCGGCTCATCTTGACAGTTCTGCCTTAAAAAGGTGCCAACGGAATAACTCTCTGCTTTTAGTTTATCCGGTTTGTCCAGTTTCCTGCTGGTTTATCCGAGACAGTTCAGCGTTGCCAGTGTTGGATTCGTATGCTTCATACTCCCGTACATCAGCTTAATACTAAACCCAACGTGGGCTACCCAGTACGTGACTACGGAGTACTCACTGTTATGTTTGCTCCTCCGTATTGGTACCTCGAATCATCCACCCCCATCCTAGAGTATCCTCTTTATTCACTCTGATAATCATCTCAAGTGTTTTCACACAGTACACTCGGAGAAAGCCCGGAGGAATGGCTCGAATCATCTCACCCTAAGCACCTTTCAGGCCTCAGGCAAGACAGAACAGCCAAGAAGTTATGACAACGCCATCCGCGCTAAGCTTTAGAATCCTATCCCATCTAAGCTCCTCGGTCCGTGGTCAATGTAACGCTCCATTAGCTGCATATCGCAGTCCAATAGGGGCTCGTTTAGAGGATCATAAGTGGTCTGTACCTCGCACAATGCACAGTCTAGAGGGTATCCATTATGTAGTAACAATTGCGATTATCTACTCCGATCGCACACCATAATAAACACTAATTTATAAATATTCGAGGTGGCCCTGTAGGGCGAAAAACACACTCTGACCCCCTTGTTGGTACCTGGATTCCTCCAGCTTCCCAGTCATGGCTGTGTTTGCATTGAAACGACATAAGGATGACCAACCGATCGAGGAAGAAGCTGAAACCGGGGCAGATATTTCATTTTCCAAAAAACCAGATGTTGCAGAAATCTCCATGGATGAGGAGAACCTCAAGCTGCAAGGGGAAACCGCTGCTATCGAAGAAGAAACCCAAGAGAACCCAGAAATCGCCGCATTGCCTTTGTCAGTTCGCCAGCTGATCAATTTGGAGGATGATCCTAGTCTGCCCACCATTACCTTCCGCTACTTTGTACTTTCGGTCGTCTTTGTGATCCCCGGAGCGTTCTTGTCCCAAATGAGCTACTTCCGCACGACCAAAGCCCCATACTCCGTCTTCTTCGTTCAAATTGCCTGTCATTATGCCGGTCACTTCCTTGCTAGGGTTCTCCCGACTTGGAAAATTGGTATACCCGGTACTCGCTTCTCTTTTAATTTGAACCCAGCTCCGTGGAGTATCAAAGAGCATGTATTGGTCACATTGACAGCTGCATCGGGTGCTACGTATAATCTCGGATATGTTCCAGTCGTGCTCGCAGAGCTGTGGTATGGAGAACGAATCAATCCAGCCGTTGCAATCTTCTTCATGCTCGCTATCGTCTGGATTGGATACTCGTTTGCTGCCCTTGCACGACAAATCCTCCTCCCCGATCCGGAATATATTTGGCCCAAGGCACTGATGCAGACGACCTTATTTGAAACATTCCGTAAGCAAGACAACTCGTCGGCTCTTGCTCGCCGTCAGATGAAAGTGTTCTTCTTTGCGCTTCTGGGCATGACCTTATGGCAGTTCCTCCCTGAATACGTCTTCCCATTCACGTCCTCCCTCGCCTTCCTCTGTTGGGTAGCACCTCACAACCCAGTGGCCAATTTCATCGGCTCAGGAATTGGCGGCATGGGTTTCCTCAATCTCTCCCTGGATTGGTCTAACGTCAATTGGAACGGATCCTCCATCATGCTCACTCCCTTCTGGACACAGGTCATCCTGTTTTTGGCCTTCGCTTTCAACTGTTGGGTGCTACTTCCTGCAGCGAAGTGGGGAAACCTAGGTTCCTATAAACACGGCCTTATGTCGAACAGCCTCATGCAGGCCAATGGTACCACTTACCCAACTCTTGATGTGCTCACCTCTGATTATCACCTCAACGAGACTGTATATCAAGAGTATGGGCCGATGTACATGGGCCTGCAGAATGTGTGGGCGACTTTCTTTGACTATGCCAAACTCCCAGCAGCAGTCACCTGGATTTTGACATTTGGGTTTGTTCAGGTTTCTGGCAATCTCAGAAAGATTTTCGGATCACACAAGTCCGAGAACTCGGAAAAGTCGATGAACAAGGGCATCCACTATCAATACCATGATCGCCTCAACGTTATCCAGAGGAAGTACAAAGAGATTCCGTGGTGGTGGTATGGTGCCTTGTTCTCGGTTTCCTTTATTATTCTGATTACCAGCATCGCGTGTGGATACCTCTTCATTCCCATCTGGACTTTATTTGTGGCACTTTCGAGCGCTGCCGTCTTGGTGGTTCCATTCGCCTGGCTGTATGCTATATCCAACTACCAGCTCGAGACCGGTTCCTTCAACGAACTGATGTACGGATATATGGTCCACACAAAAGCAGGCGATGCCCATCACCATCCGTGCGGCCCTTCTGTCTACGGCTCCATTGCGGGTGACGCCTGGTACCGAGCGCAATATATGCTTCAGGACCAAAAGATTGGTCACTATATGCATATCCCACCCCGCACAGTGTTTTTCTCTCAAATCTTTGGAACCTGCATGGGTGTTCCAATTAACTACCTTGTCATCCGCTGGATTATGGATACCAAGGGCGACTATCTGACTGGCAAGAAAGCTGACCCGCTGAACCAGTGGACAGGCCAATCCCTGCGGAGCTCAAACACAATGGGAGTTCAATATGCTGTGCTTGGTCCGAAGAGGCTCTTTGGCGAGTCGGAAATGGCCGCACTCCCTTGGTCATTCCTCGTTGGAGCTGTGATTCCCCCGATTCTTTACTGTTTCCATCGATTCTTCCCACGTCTGCGCATTGACTTGTGGAACGTGAGCATTTTCTTCGGAGGTCTGGCTATGTTCTACGGAAATATCAGTACTGGGTATACATCTGCCATCATCGGTGGCTATATTGTGATGTATCGCGCCTACCGCCATCACTTCGAGGTCTGGAAGCGCTATAATTACCTGATTGCTGCTGCCTTTGATGCTGGGTTCAACCTCAACATGTTGCTCATTTTCTTCTTCTTTGGAGCAGGCAAGCAAATCTCGATGCCAAACTGGTGGGGGAACAATGGCGACTCGGTAGAGCGCTGCTTTGCTCTAGATAGCTGATAGAATCAGCCAAAATATATTGCTTGTTCATACATATGGTAGATTCTCCATCAGTAGTAAATGATCTACGGTAAAGGAAAGAGGATACAGATACAACGTCCTATGGCCCTCCACTGCACATCATTCTGTTATAATTTGGGAGTGCAAATGCTCTTCAGTAGCATCTCCACTTGTTTGACACCCAGATGCATGCTGCATGTATGAATGTGGACAAACAGCCAGAAAGTAGAAACTTCAAAATAAGATGCCTAAGGGCTACGATTTGTCACGGGACAATTAGCCGTGCGCTCGGCCAATCAGGCAGGGGAATCTCGCCCTTACTCCCTTGTTTTGGTTCGAGAGGAGACCTTACTTGCAGACCGTCTTTTAACTCCTCTTGCCCCCTCTCTTCTTCTCAACCATCCTTCCCACCATCTTTCATAACCTTACCTCCCACAATTACCATCATGGGTGACCACGCGACTTTCTCTAACCCCTCCGAGGCCACCTTCGAGAAGGGCAAGTCCAAGGATGTTGCTCAGGACATGAGCATGGACGAAGAGAGCTCTTCGGAGAGCGAGAACGAGATGGTATGCTTGCTACACCTGCAGCCACTGATTCTACATGCTGACTTTATGCGCGTTTCTAGGCCGACAACGGTACGCACCCCACTATTTACATGGCAAACTGTGTTTCGATGCCACATGCGCCCTGCCACCAATGACCCTACCTGATACTAACTTGGTGTCTTTCCAGATGAGGAGGATGATGGACAGGATAACCTCGAGCCCATTGACGCCAGCAACATCATCCAGGGCGGCCGCCGCACCCGCGGCAAGACCATCGACTACGCCGAGGCAGCTCAAGACCTCGGTGATGACATGGAGGATGAGGACGATGATGAGGAATACGAGGCTCGCGATGATAACAACAATGATGACGACCAGATGCGCGACTAAGCGACCTTGATGCATATAAGAATACCGGGCGGCATGGGACTTGTTTTGGATCATAGGCGCCACGGATCGGTCGAGGAAATTCCCATGGATGTATCTTCTCCTGTCACACGACTTGTGATGACAATGAATCAATGAAAGTTTTTCAGGATGTCCTTCATCCATATCTCAATGCAATCCATTGACGAAGACTTGGTTTATGCTTTTCCCAAAATTATGTAAATTCTAGAGTAATTCTTGGCTTTTTTACCTTACAGCCAGGCCAGTACAATCTGAATTAAGTAGCCAGTTCTACTGTATTCCTCATTAAACCAGATGGTTTCCTTGCGGTTCGCTGTTCTCTGGATTTCCGCCAATACTATAGCTATCACGTGCCGCGGCGAAACACAACGCTATGGCCACCTTGATGTTTTTATCTCCGCAAGCATCGAGAACTCGAACGGTGGTGGTTATCTTGGATTTTGACCCTTGCGCAATGTTCTTTGACTGCCAGTAACGGACTATCGATTTAATTTATTGCCATACTACTTCTCTGCCTCAAATCCAAGTTACATATCAACAAGCGTCATGGCTTCACGGTATAGTTCCAACCCTCTGTTACCCTCTCCTGGGCTCAACCATGCGGTATACATGTGACTAATACGGACCGATGTTAACAGATTTCCGCGCCAACGTGATCCCCGCGGATCCTCCTCTCTCTTCGATCAATACGGTGGCGATTCCCGCCAGCCCAGCAGATCGCCAGCTCCTGCAGGCGGATATGGATATGGAGACTATTCCAGTCCAGCGCATAATGGCTACTCAAACAATGGTGCAGCCGGGAGAGGATATCAGAACGCATCACCCGACAAGAAGTATGTCAAGTACTCGGTCCTCCGTGTTCCTCGTTCTCGAGAGTTCAGTTGCTGACTCGAACTTCCTACAGAGGACATTACTCCGACGCAGTTCTCTCATCACTCGAATCACAAAATGATGCCGAAGTCGAAGGCATCAGCGCTAAAGTCAAGATGTTGAAAGATGTAAGATATCCTCGCGCCTGCACACCAGGCGATAGCAACTGCTATTTTGAAACGCCCAGTCGCTAACAGGATGGTTTAGATTACTCTTGCAATTGGCGATGAAATTCGCGACACCACACATATGGACGACCTCAACAGCTCTTTCGAAAACACCCGAGTCCGAATTCGAGGAAACATGAACCGCATGCTTCGCATGGCCGAGAGCACCGGCGTCGGCTGGCGAGTATGGCTTGGGTTCTTCTGCGCTGTCTTCCTCCTATTCTTCTATGTGTGGATATTCTGAGCGCATGTATCTGCTGTCTTTCTGTTGACGGTATTGCGCTTCCCTCCGTGCCGACTATATCCATTTCGCCTATATCCCATTTAATCTCTTGACTTATTTTACGCAGAACCGGTCTATGCTCTTCCACTCGATCTCATGTGGATCACCGGGCATGCACACAACTTATCAATACTTTCAGCATAGGAATTTTGGCTTTAGCGCTTCCGGCGTTCTGGGAATATGGATTCTTTTGAGCTGTTTATATAAGAGCTTACCAGTGTCTCGGGATATAGGTTATGCACCGGTGTTCTCTGAGCAACAACATGGTGTGATCAGGGCTCACATTGTTCATCTCTCTGGTCTCCGCGGAGAAACCGAGGAATGTCTAATGTGGTCCGAGACTGGTTGGGTGTTCTTTGGCTGTACATACTGCATATAGCATCAAATACGCAGGGAGTTGTCCTGGTTAGAGAACTGAAGGTCTGAACGTTAACTATTCTAGGCTATAAGATAAATCATAAGCTCAAGTCATATTGAATGCATCCGCTCATAGAGCGTGTTATGAGTATCATAAGTCACCGCAAAACTCCCAAGGTCTTTTAACCCACTACAAACACCGTTGATGCAATGGAACGCCATGCAACCACAAAGCCTAGCACCGATAGCGACACTGTTAGATAGTTTCACCTATTCCAGGCTATCCCTAGGACCGCCAATGTGTCGAGGGAACCGTCTCGCAAACCCGCTCCGTCGACTACCCTGGCTAGTGATGGAGGCGCCCAGATCTTCATCGTCATACAACATACTGCTCGAATCAAGGGCATCACCTCCACCACTCCAGCGTTGCAGAAACCGGCGCTGGGCTTCAGTCTCAGGCTGACGACGAATAGACGGCGGAGGAGGCAAGCCACCGCGACTGTTCGGTGTGCTGGTGCGGAAGTTCTCCAACCGGGACTGAATGATACTGGGCTCGTCCTCATCCTCGTCACTCAGATCCTCCTCACTATCCGTATGCTGCCATTCACCTCCCTGCTCTGAGCCTTCCGCCGCATCAGGGATATCATCATCCAAGTCGCGCGTCATGCCTCCACTCATATCACCATCAGCAGCAGGAATCTCCGCATCCAGATCAGGCTGATTATCGAAATCCTCATTCTCATCACCATCATCATAAAACCCAGAACCCTCGTAGTCATCGTCAGGAAACCCTTCAGGAATGTCATCATCCAGATCCCTCTCCATGTACCCCTCATCATCCTCAATATCATCCTCCTCAAGCCCCTCCTCCCCCTCCTCAATGAGTCCCTCCGCATCCACATCCGCATCCGGGATATCATCATCCAAATCACGCTCCATACCCTCATCTTCCTCCTCACCATCCGCCCTCTGCATCCCCGTATCATCGTCCATAATGCCCTCACCCTCAACGGCATCCATCTCCGCCGCCGCAGCCTGAAGCGCCTCTTCACGCTCCGCCTCCTCCTCTTTCATGCCTAGCATTGTCTTCGCACATCCCGCCGGCCTGATCCACGAGTATCCAAAGGACGCGATGTTTTGTTTCCGTGCGCGTAGTGACCGTTCCTCTGCGACTAGCGCGGCTAGTGTATTGCCCGGTGAGCGGGATGGCATGAATGTGCGATGGCTGCTGGATGTGCCATTGGCGTTGCGGCGGGAGGGGTGGTTGGGGGCATTGTCGCCGGGGCCTGGTTCGGCCGATGCGCGGTATGGCTGAGGGGAGCCGAACCAGAGTTCATGGGACTGTCGAGTTGTTAACGTCTGATTGGAATCTCGGAGTGGGTAGAGGCTAGGTTGAGCTCACGTCGCGTGGGGTGATGAATGGAAGAGATAGCATGGTTTCGGTGGTGGTTGTCTTTATTCCAGCCTAGCAGGTATTGGGGATGGCATAGGCTTGCCGGGACTGCCAGGAGCTTTGAATCGTGGAGTTGCTTGTATTATTCGAGGTAGCGGCGTGTTTATGGCAGTTGCGCGGTGCGGTGAGGCCAGGTGTTAGGGGTTTGCAACACAAACATAGAGATTGTTTCTGCAATTGAATGTAAAACGAGGATAGAGGACAAATTAGCTTGGAAGCGCAGAAATATCGACGTGGATTAAAGGAAATGGGGAGAAAGAGCTCGCAAAAAAAGGCCGCAGCTCCACTGCCAATCACAAAGACTATGCGGGGAACACTAACTCTATCTGTACTCTATAGATTCTACTGCTTTGTGGTTGTAGATCGGAGCTCAACTTTTGAATTGGAGTGTTTTAAATATATACACTAGTTGTCGCATTCTACTGATCCGAGCCATCTAAGTTTTTCTCTTAGGTTAAGTTAACTGATTGGAACTTGTAAGCTATATTTTTGCTGCACATAATCAAACCAATACCCAAAGTACCCTATATAAACGATAAAACCTAGGATGCGTGTTCTGTTACCACACAACCCTGTTCATAGGTATGGTAAGGATTGAATAGTGAACGAATATCAGTCCACGGCCTTTCAGAAGCATGAAGCACGAGTACGACATTAGAGCCAATGGGACAATTTCTCTACAGAGCCTCTTGAATGATTGGATGAATAGTGCTCCGTAAGGCTAGGAGACCTGCTGAATCCTCTCTATACCTTCAGAACTTGACATTAAGCAACAAAGAGATGAGAAAAGAGAAGCCCAACTAGGGAGCAGATCTATACTGTATAGCTAGCTAGAGTGGTACAGTCATAGGCCATAAATTCTTTCACACCCCTACCTATGTGGCAGAGGCAAACCCAAATAATACAGTAAGTCTGGGCAACTGGATTGCAGGTTTGAATGTAAAGGGAATGTACTTTAGCAACATGGGCGGGTCCCTGATTCGCAGTCTCAAGGCCGTGATCTACAGCACATGTATACCAAGACACTCGGCCGGGGTCACCCGAAGCTGGCGGTGAGCCCAAAGCGGAGGGATCGGGAGAATTCGGGGTGTAGCTTTCCCTGAGATCGTGACGTCCGACTTTCCGCTGGAAAACCATTGGCGCAGGAACGGGGATCATGTGATATCCACTGGGGCTACACACGATATCGCATAAATTGATAGATCCAAAACAACTAGGAGTGTAAATACGGTTTTATACACCGAGGCAACTAGGCGGAAAATGGAGAAGAGATCCAGGTGAGAGGAGTTAGGTAACGCTATATTCACATATCATTTGCCTTATCTCACACGCGTTAAGCCGGATCGCTTTCGTCCGACTCAAATTTGCGTTAACTCCGAGACCTCGTCAAATCGTAACCCAAGAGAAGAGAAAGGTCATTCAATTGGACATCTTGGGGCGAAGTTGAGTCCCCAGAGTCTGGGGATTCTGGGGATGCAAGGCCTCCAGTGAGCGAGCAGGTAATTCGATAAGCAATTTACATGACCTCAAAGAATGAGCTGGGGAAATTGCTCTAGCCAATCCGAATGCAGGTCATGCCGGGGAGTGACTGGATGGCCCCGAAATCGGGGGTGGCATGTTGGCCAATCCAGGGGAGAAGAGAGGGATATCCCGGGATCTCTTGGCGGTCGGAATTGGGAACCGTTTGAGACTGTACGGAGTATTGATATCCTTACCATCTGTGAGGGGGGTGAATTATTTTTTTTTACAAACTTTTGAAATACACCACCTATGCTCTGTAAAATGCCAAGTGATCTATTCTGTATAGTACTTTCATTTCCCCTGGTCCTGCATGGTACACAAATCAGGTCGGAACGCTCTGGATTAAGCACTGCATCGTGCCCCACCGGGGATGCGCCCATCCACCCGGGTCTCCATGTGATCCGGTTTAGCGAGCTAGTCTCCTCCATTCGGGGCTCCGGTGTTGGTAATCCGTTCTGTGTCAGTGTACGCTGCCCAATAGGCAGCTCGGGACATTATGGGGTCGGCCCACCTCCCGACCTTGATTTCTCGTGGATCCTGGAAAGAGAAGAGAGGGAGGGGGAAAGAGAGAGAGAGAGAGAGTGAGAGAGATGTTCAAATAAGAGTGAACATAAACATACTCCGTACTTCTGATTACAATACCGAGGATCTTGACGTAGCAGAAAGCTAATCTTGGCTTGTAAAATGTGCAAGATGATTGGTTCGATGCTTATCTCGATGATTTGCCGTAATAGTTATCATTACCCTCCAACGGCTCTATGGAATGCCCTGTTTCCGGCCAATCTCTGTAATTTGCAACTGGAACATCCCAGGTAATCTATACTCCTCTGTACTCCTCCGTACCACCCTGATATTCTCATACGCTGCTCCCCACCATTGTATTTTTCCCTTTTGGGTCGCTGCAATCCCCGGAGTCCCTGCACTCATCTTTTTTTTTTCCCCCCTCCTTTTACTCTTTTCTTTCTCTCTTCCCCTCCTCTTGATTACATCTACCTCGCGGGCCAACATTGTTTTCGCTTCTGCGCTGCGACGCCTGTGACGACATTGCCCGCTCCCTAATCGATACGCCCCCCCAAATCGGCGGGGATTTCCAAGAACTTCAAAAACCCCCCACCTGTCATTCCATTCTCTGTCGGCTCCCGGCGGAAGAATGGGTCTTAACTTAGAGGAGCTCTATGGCAAAGATCTAAGTGAGGAGCAGGCTCCCCAGGAGTACTCACAGTACCAGCCGAAGCAAGGCTATGGCTGGGCCAATACCCTGCCGGAGCGGCAAGGTCTGTATGATCCTGAGTACGAGAAGGATGCCTGCGGTGTAGGCTTTGCTGCGTGAGTCAACCCTAACCCAATTGCAGCCTGGGAGCAAGTCTAACCAGAACCAGCCATATCAAAGGCAAGCCGAGCCACAAGATTGTCAGCGATGGTGAGTTTCCTATGAGGGTGTGAGTTGGGACAAATGGCTGACAGCAATTGAATCGTAGCCCGCAACCTACTGTGCAACATGACCCATCGTGGAGCCGTTGGCTCTGACGCACGGGACGGTGACGGCGCCGGTGTGATGACCAGTATTCCTCACAAGTTCTTCATCAAGAACTTTGCCCGAGAGGTAGGTGTGGACCTTCCTCCACTGGGACAATATGCTGTCGGCAACTTGTTCTTCAAGCCCGATGAGGAGGCACTCAAGCAGTCTATTGCAAGCTTCGAGGAATTGGCTACCTCCCTGGGCCTCCGTACCCTGGGATGGCGTGAGGTGCCCCGGGACTCAACCATTCTTGGTCCCGCTGCCCTTTCACGGGAGCCAATTATTATGCAGCCCTTCGTTGTGTTGAAATCAGCATACGGTGAGGGCAACAAGCCCGAAATCACCGACACCGAAAAGTTCGATGAGAGAACATTTGAGCTTCAGCTGTATGTCCTACGGAAGCGTGCGACTCATGTCATTGGCCTCGGCAACTGGTTCTACTTGTGCTCACTCAGCAACCGGAACATTGTCTACAAGGGTCAACTCTCCCCCGTCCAGGTTTACACATACTACCACGACTTGGTCAACGTAGACTATGAGGGTCACTTCGCCCTGGTGCATTCTCGATTCTCTACAAACACATTCCCCTCATGGGATCGTGCTCAGCCTTTGCGATGGGCTGCCCACAATGGTGAAATAAACACGTTGCGAGGAAACAAAAACTGGATGCGCGCACGAGAGGGTGTCCTTCGGTCAGAGGTTTTCGGCGACGAGCTTGACCAGCTTTACCCTATTGTTGAGGATGGTGGTTCCGACTCCGCTGCATTCGATAACGTGCTCGAGCTCCTTATGATCAACGGTGTTTTATCTCTCCCCGAGGCCGTTATGATCATGATCCCGGAGGCCTGGCAAGACAACCCAGCTATGGACCCGGCCAAGTCTGCTTTCTATGAGTGGGCTGCCTGTCAGATGGAACCCTGGGATGGGCCGGCTCTTTTCACCTTCTCCGATGGACGCTACTGCGGTGCCAACCTTGACCGTAACGGTCTACGGCCTTGCCGTTTCTACGTCATGGACGATGACCGCATTGTTTGTGCTTCCGAAGTCGGCGCAATCGATATCGACCCTGAGAGAGTCGTGCAAAAGGGTCGCCTGCAACCCGGAAAGATGCTGCTCGTCGATACCTTGGCTGGACGCATCATTGATGATGCTGAGCTCAAGCAGACTGTCGCCCGCCGCCATGACTTCGCCGGTTGGCTGGATAAGGAGCTCTTGAAGCTTCCCGCTATCAACAAGCTATTGCTTGACTCCAATGTCGACCTTTCCTTTGCTCTGGATGAAAACACCATCCAGAACGACCCCCGTCTTCGCGCCTTTGGATACTCTTTCGAGCAAGTAAGCTTACTGCTTGGCCCCATGGCCGCTGATTCCAAGGAAGCTCTGGGATCTATGGGTAACGATGCACCCCTGGCCTGCATTGCCCAGCAGCCTCGTCTACTTTACGAGTATTTCCGACAGTTGTTCGCTCAGGTCACGAACCCGCCCATTGATCCTATCAGAGAGGCAGTAGTTATGTCTCTAGAGTGTTACGTTGGACCCCAGGGCAACCTGCTCGAGATGGACCCCAGCCAATGCCACCGTCTACTTCTGCCTTCCCCTATCTTGAGTATTCCCGAGTTCAATGCCCTGAAAAATGTCAACTTGGCTCACAAGGACTGGACAGTCCGCACCATCGACATCACATTCGAAAAGAGCAAGGGTACATCTGGTTATATCGAGGCACTCGATGCCATCTGTGAGGCCACTACCGAGGCCATCCAGAACGGCGACAAGATCATTATTCTGTCTGATCGCGCTACCTCCGCTGAGCGTGTTCCTGTTTCTGCTTTGTTGGCTACCGGTCTTGTTCACCACCATCTGGTCCGCAACAAGTGGCGTTCGCTAGCCGCCATCGCCGTCGAAACTGCCGAGGCTCGTGAGGTCCACCACCACTGTGTTCTGC